ATGACGTTCATTCCGATAGTGAACTTGGAGACACTCGTGGCCGCCGGTCAGAAGCTAGATGCGCTGAACTTCTCGGCCTATAACAATATCTTTGGCAACGAGAAAACGATACATGCGATCGGAAACCAGGACACCGCCAGTAGGAATCGCCAGAAACCAGCCCAGCCATACGCTCAGCAGCAAAATCGTCCGTCAGTTAACCAGTACAGGAATCAACAAAACTCTTCAAACAAGTCGCAAAATCCACCTCCTGGGCTCAGCTCTAGCAACTCTCAAAATCCACTTAAACCACCGGCTAATTCAAATTCTCAAAAGAATTCGGAACAAAAATCGCCAGTTTCAAGGTCTTCAGGCATTTCTATGCGTCCTCAAGTCACTTTGGAACAGGTCGTTAACGGACATAAACCTCCGAATTCAAACACCTGCCTCAACTGTAGAACACCCGGCCATCACATGGTAATGTGCCGCCAACCTCGTCGTCTTTTCTGCGAAAACTGTGGTTTAAACGGCTTCCCTACTAGCTTCTGTCCATACTGTCTAAAAAACGGACCACGAGCGAACGAAAATCGCCGTTCGCAGAACCCGGAAGCGTAGATCCACCTATTTCAAATCGGAATCCTCCAGTCTACTGGGAGCGCCCTATCGAAGACTGCTACTCCCGTACAGAACAAATCTGTCAAATAACTTATCCGTTTCCGAATGATAACCGTCCCTATGTAGCCGTTAAGATTTATGGTGTCCCTTTAAAAGCTCTTTTGGGTAGTGGAAGTAATTTTACTATCATCAGCGAAAGTGTACTCGCTCGATTGAAGCCGAAGAAACTTTTCATAGTCCACCCAAACACATTTCCTTACGATCAGCAAGCGGCGATGAGCTCGAAATTCGTGGCCAAGTTCACCTTCCTTATCGTTTCCTCGACAGGATTAAGATTGTTCCGACCCTGCTTGTCCAGAATTTGTCCCTCGACTGTATATGTGGCATGGATTTTTGGAGAAAATTCCAGATCCAGCCCACTATACTACAGAGCGGGTTGTTACAGGATCCAGAAATCGTGGCGTCTACTAATCCGGTCATGGTAAATACGATTTTATCAGAGGAAGAGAGCCAACAGATCGAGGAGGTCAAACATCTGTTTCTCCCAGCAAGAGCAGGACAGTTGACTATCACTCCGCTCACCAAACAAGACTCAATACACAACTATAGGAACCTAACGCTTCTAACGTACCTCAACGATAGGAGCGTTTACCCTACCGCTTTCGAGTAAACACTACCAGTTCAGTTTTGTGCGGCTAGAATTCGATCCCTAGATTCCTAGCCCAAGAAGACAAGTTATCTAAGGAACTTTACAATGGTCCTTGCAAGGACCTCTTACGGAAAACACACCGTCACATTCTGCCAAATAGTTGTCGATATCTTTGACATAAAAGTTATAAAGAAGAAGGCTGAGACATGAGCCTCCCAACAAACAATTTTAGCTGCAGATTAGCTTATACAGCCAAAATTTGCCTTATGCAGCTAATTTTTGCCTGTATAAGTTAACCTGCAGCTAAAATTGTTTGTTGGGCTTGGGACAGGCCCATGTAACTAATTCTAGAAATTACCAGTTGTCCAAGAGAAAATTTCATTTGCTTTTTTGACAACAAATAGTACAAGAAATTATTTAAAATTGCAGAACGTCCGCATCTGTGCAGATTGTCTGATAGAATTTCGATTGAAACTGAATCAAAAGCTCCCCTAAGGTGGGTTTAGACAGGGCAAGTCAATTGATCAAGTCAGTTGAATTCAACTGACTTGATCGCGAATTGAACGTGTAAACCATGCCATTCAACTGACTTGATCAACTCACTTAAATTGAAAAAAGTTGAACCAGGCTCAACTTTTCAAGCCAATTGAATTCAACTGAGTTGATCATTTGACTTGGTATAAAGCTGGGCTCTTGTGAGAACATCGCGACTAAGTTGCGTCGTACGGCTGACCAGGGCCCCTTCTCCAATATTCATTAACGTTTTTTTTTTGAAGAATAAACATTATGTTTTTAATAAAAAATACTGAATCCGTTGAAAAAAAAATTATTTATTAACTATGACTGAAAAATTCTCATTTTTTATTGAACACCCGTTATTGTTGATCGATTGTCTTCATCGATTTTCTCTTTCGAGAATAACCCGACTGCAAATAATGAATTTCCCATTCACTGTGTTGTTTCAGGCGCAAGCTAACATCATCTTCATTGTGCTACGAGCTTAGGGAGAAGTTCGTTTATGTTGCCGTGGTCGATGAAGAGAATCGATCAACGAGGATAGGCCCTGATGTTAAGCATCTCGAACTATAGAATTAAAAAACATCTGGGATATATATTTATTTCTGGAGAACTGGCAGCGCTGCACAGAAATGTGTATACCAAAAGAGGGGAAACCGGTAAAGCTAACGATGCCTTTCTGTATCGATAACACTTCTCGTGCCCTATATTATAAAAAGCTACACCAATGCCCCTTCCTCAAGAAAGTTCAAAATTCAAAACTCTTTTAATTTTATCCTGAAGGGACTCTGGAATTCGTTCCTTAGAAGACCCAAATAATCTGAACCTGATATTTAAATTCGCGACGAGATGTTGTTGATGTTGATGATGTTGTTAACGATTACTGTCACACTCATTCAGCAGATCGTAGTGGATGCATATCTATCAAGATTAAATTTTCAATCTGCTTTTATAAACAAAGATTAAAACGTCAATGCGTCGAAACTTAGGTAGGGTGGTGTTATTTCGCGTGGGTGAGCTAAGAGTTTCGACAAACTGAGACGTCAGTCTTTGTTTACAACATCAGATACGGCTATTTGAAAATTCATTCTACATACAGAATTGTCAAACTAGTGTAGATGTTCCAGCCATGGCTATACGTTCTCAGTATGCTGTGTTTCAATTATGCGGGTATTTCATAGGAACGTACAGCCGTAGCATCTACCCGAGTTAAAGTAGAACACACTAGAATAACGATAAGGCCAGGTGACAACAAAATGATCCTTCCATCCAGTATTTATTAAGTCCTCATCAAACAGTGACCATATAAAATGTCAAAGATGATCATCAAATAGGCTAAATCACTTGAAATGGAATCATAACCAATGGAAATACACCGGCATTTTACAGTGCTTTTCCGATTTTGTCAGCCCCTCCGCACATTAGACCTTTTCCCCCCGCTAATTTTACATTCATCGATTCGCACGGCAACCTGAAAAGAAACCCATTAATGAGTAAAATTTCATCGATTTTGAATTAATGTGGCTCAAAAATACTATTTTCACGACAATCCGTTTTCGTGTACAGATTATTCTGTGTCGAAAATTGCCGACAGTAAGGAATTTTATGTAGGTAGCAGTTAAACTTGTACGTATGCGGCATCACTGTTCACTCCCCTTTAACCCTCTTTTCTTTGACAGTCGCAGTAGGCTCCGTTCATCCATCGCTAGAACTGTTTTTGCGCTTGCTTACTATATATACTCGGTTTGTTTCCTTCGTACTTGTCCTAGCTTCGGCTGGACATATACTAAAATTGGAACGATACAGAGAAGATTAGCATGGCCCCTGCGCAAGGATGACACGCAAAATCGTGAAGCGTTCCACATTTTTTTGCCAAATTGGCATTCGATGTTGCTCCGGTGGATGGTCCCTATATCTGAATGCGGCGTCGACAATGAACCTGCTGCACGGCCAATGAGTGCGACCCAAATTTGAGTTAGGTTACTCATAAATCGCAAAAAGTGCAGGAACTCTCAGCGATGAGAGTTCATGTTTTTCTAGGTTTTTCCAGGAAAAAATCCCGAATATTGAAAAGTAAAGATTGGATTCTCTCAGTCTATTGGTACTACTATACTACTTGGGTTGATCTCATTGACCGTGGATTAATGTCACCTGAAAAGCAGGACAATCAGCCAACTGTAACCGCGTAGTGAAGGGCAAGATCGGTCCAGCTTAAGGTTACTCACAAGGAACAATTCAGTCGACAGACCATTTTGATAGTTTTGTCCCTTTAAATTGTGGTCTCGTTTCCAATGTATTCAAATATAATACCAAGCACGAGTTTTGTCCCTTTAAGGTAGATTCCGTCTCCGCTAATGCACGTTCAAATCTGAATACACCATAAAACTCGCTTCCACGAGTTTTTCTATCTTCCTCCTCCCCTCGCTGCTTTTGTCCCACAAACTATTCAATACGAATAACCTTAAGCTCAACCGATCTTGGTGAATTGGGACTGAATTTTTTACCGTTCAAGGGGTGATTTTTATGAAAACGTCCAACCGATACAGCACGAATTACGCTCAATGCAATCCAGCGTTATTTAACGGTATAGTGACCAACACACTTATTTGATTTATATCGTGTTGTGGTCAGCACCCTCGCACCTTTGGAACCCTCTGATGTTGGATATTCTCACTTGTGTCATATGTGTGGATAGCGCATCGACGGTCATACAATAGAGCAAGGGTGGAAATTTAAAAGACCCTTCGTTGGTCGCTGACGTCATACATTCCACGTGGTTAGATTGAACCAGCAACGAGACAGGTATCAGCGGTAATTACTGTCCTACTTGGAATGCGTGGAAAACTCTCGCTCGGTGTAGCCTACTGAGGTAGGCTATAGAGGCTGCTTTTGGGAGAGGGGTATCGATTTTTGGTCACTTGGCCGGCCCCCCTTCTCGTGAGAAAGCGGGTGAGAAAGCAACGAATGAAATCGGGCGAGATTTGTTTGGGTTTTCCTTGGCTTGCCCGGGCAACGAATGCGGCGTGTCTGTGTCCAGTTGTTGTGGTCAGACTCAATTATTATTACATTCAGTGCGGTGAATGGAACTGAGGGTTGAGGATGTGCTCTGGTTGCTTGTTTGGGTTGTACTGGTGATCGTGATGAAGAAAGCAGTTTCTTTTAGAGTTGGTTAAATCTTTGAATGTTCGGTTTGGAGAGTCACTAATCGATGATTTTGTGTTTCTATTTTGTTGAATTGCAGTTGGGCGGCAAGGAATGCGCGCCCAGTATAGCGTCGCGCCATCTAGGTGAAGGCGGTGGCGGCGCAGGAGGAGGAGGAGGTGGGAGTTCCGGCGATCGTAAGAAGCCTTTCTCTCGTCCGTTCAGCAAGTCTCGCCTGGAAGCACCGACTGCCAGTGGTAGCGGCAGAATGTCCAGTCCATCACCGACGGATACCGGCTGCCTTATGCGGCAGAACAACGAGCTGCGTCAGCGTTTGCAGGAGGAAGCCACCACCTACCGACGCCGGCTGGAGACGTACAAGCAAGCGCAAAACAACCAAGCCGCTCTGGTAAGTCGTCTACAGGCAAAGGTCCTACAGTACAAGCAGCGTTGCAGTGAGCTGGAGACGACTCCCACGTCGAGCACTTGCCCAAGCTACAACACCAACAGGGATCACTCTCCGGGTAGACATCACGGTCCACCAGCGTCGGCGGTGGCACCTTGCAGCAGTTCGGGTGCCCCACTCAGCTTGCCGCCGTGTCCGGTGGCCCGAGAGCGTTCCCGGTCGCGATCTCGCTCGCAGTCCCCGTGTCGCAAGTACGCCGACGGAAGCCACGACGAAGTCCGCCATCAGCTTGATGAGGAACGACGAAGGTGAGTTTGCAACATGTCGAATATTCAGCAGAAAGTTTGACCGTGGTTTTATTTTAGATGCGAAAAACTACTGGTCGAGAACTCCTGCCTGCGGCAGCAGTTGGAGGAGTCCCATCGAACCAACGAAGCACTGACCAACGATCTCCAAAAGCTTACCGTCGATTGGGAAAGCTTGCGGGATGAACTACTGAGCAAGGAGGACGAGTGGAAGGAGGAGGAGCAGGTGAGTAAACTCGGAGCAGATGTTCGTAGGATGTTTATGTGATCTCTATATGGGGGTACACTTTGTGAAAACTAAAAATGGAACATGCAACAAAATTATGAAAGATTTTAAACGTTAATAACTCAACTTCCCCTGAACCAATTTCAATAACTTTAACACCAATCGATCAAAAATAGTTTTACGCATCTGTGAAATTTAAGACTTTATCATTTTTAAAAAGGTCATGTGCAACTGTTGCTATGATAATTAAAATTATCACCGATTACCTGCGAAAAGCGATTTCCCTAACACAGATTTCAAAGTTGAATTCCATCCGGTCTCACCAAACGGTGTTTATTCGTGCTCTTCGTAAGTCGCTGTGGGCCATCTATGTCAAGCGCGTCATACTAAAGAGTATAAACAGAGAGAACCCCGCTCAAATTCCTATTCCCACACAAAATGCAAGCTCCTCCTGCAGTTAACAAATAAGATTTATTATATAAGACCACGTAGTCCTGCGTCACCACTGCTTACAAACCCATAGGGCTGTCTCTTGTAGTTTTTTTTTCGGATTTCAGAACACTACTACACACTAATCCAGACCTCTGCCGTTGGGTAAATATTAATCTAGGTAAAAGTTAAACAATCAGTGAAAAATCCAACAATTAGTAAATTTATTCCGAACTTGCTCTGCTGTTAAAAAACCCGGTAAAATTCTACCGACTTCGGTGATCTGAATTAAGTGTTCAGGATGTCTATGAGACTCAGGGATGCCAGGTGTATTTTGGAAAAATCTTCATCAAGATGTAAGAAATGTCTTCAGATGTCTTCACCGCTACTTTTCACATTTGGGGGTGTTCAGATTTATAAAAATGAGCCTTTACGGCAGATCTGGGAAGTCAAGAAAACATCATTCGATATCAGGGAACTACGTAAAAGCTCAGGGAACGGTGCAGATTTTCAAATAGTTTCGTAGACCTTCAGGAGACTTCGTAGAACTTCAGGAAACTTCGCATCAAGAAATTACGTAAAAGTTTAGAAAACTTTCTAAAAGTTCAGCACAGTTCATCTTACTTTGTGGAAGTTAAGCAAACTTCAAAAAACTTACTTAAACTTCATAGTGTGTGGTTATCAATTAACTAATCTCTATGGATTGTAACAGTGGAATGAATAAATCTTCAATAACTGTCTTTACAGACTACTGTGATAATTTCAAGTTTCAGCTGGTTGCTGTGATTGTTCGTTAACTCAACACTTCTCCTTGAACTATACAGGCAGTACGCCAACTGATGATCGATGCTGGTTTGGTGAGCATGTCCACAACCATATGTTCCATTGGACAGTAGATCACGGATAGCATGCCTTATGGAACAAGATTCTTAGTGAACTGGAACTTGGTGGCTTGCTCTTCGATTTTGCTTGCTCACCTTGTCTAGTAACTTCTCTCGGGTCAGGTTTAGCGTCAAAGCATCATCAGTTCACGTTTCGAGGGCACTAGTCAACGCTTTGAATGACTTCGGCAATGCTCGCAAGATAAAGGTCACCATGGTGTCTTCTCCCAGGTCCTTTCCATCGTGTACAGATGCTCCTTTCTCGTGTGATAGCCGTCCATATTTTCACCTTCCGTGTATCGGGTCTCCGTTGCAATAGGACAGAGTGGCCTTCTGATGGTGATTGGCCAACGCTGCCCACGCTTCCTTCGAGCATTTTTCATCTCCTTCTGTCCATGCTGGCGGAACTCCCGCCACTGCTTCACCTGCTCCAGCTGCCGGTGGGTTGTTCTTCAAGTAGGTCCTCAAACCTTCCCGGATTAGCAGTGCTTCAGGGCGAAGCTTCCATGCTTCGTAGTTTGCTTTTCGCGTTAGCTTTACGGAGCCGATAGTTCATTGTTCTTTGGTTGTAACAAAATTCACTTAATTCTATATCGAGTAGGAGTTGGGCCGAATACTCGCGGCTTACTCGAGGTTAGATAGGTACATTGTCGAAGGATAGGATCAGAGGAGGAACTTGGGGGTAAAGTTTCGTTGTCTCATCAGAGCGTTGTCGCCAGAATGAATGGTAGTGTTGTTCTAGTTTCGTCTGGAGTTCGACCGGCTATGGTGGGTGACCAGTGGGCGACGATGAGACTCATCGAGACGGGGGGACAAGACAAACAAAAACTAATACAGAGAGACAAAAAACAAAGGAATTAAATTCTTATACTAGACATTTGAAAAAACACATAAACCGACTGCTTACAGCAGATATTGCGAGTTCCCAACACGTCTCTAATAGGAACATAGGGTTGTCTTCCTTAGACCTCAAGGGTATTCAAAAGTCGCTCTCTGGCGGCATCATTATCCGTACATTGCCAAATTGCGTGATCGATCGTGGAATTCTTCAGATCCATCCTATCGCAGGTTTGGCTCCGGTCTTCGAACTTCCAGAAACTTCTTTAGGAAAAAAACTACACGTTGCTAAGGGCCCATAACCTGTTAGCAGAGCGTGGTTGAAAATTAACTAATCTCTATGGATTGCAACAGTGGAATGAATGAATCTTTATTAACACTCCGAACAAGATGCTTCCGGTAAAACGTGTAACGGCAAAAATGTTTGAAAATTCATAGTTCAGCCATTTATTGACGAATGTCAAATCTTTTAGCGCCACTTGATACTACATATTTTATAGATTTATTCGGATTCAAAAGATTTGAAATCTGCTGACAAATTTTTGAGCAATTATTTTTCAATCATTGCCAATTTTTCATTATATTTTTTTTCCGGAGGCATCGTGTTTGGAGAGTAAACAAATATGTCAATCGCTGATTTCTTGCGAATAAAAGTATAATCTCGCGAACAAACTATTCCAAATGACAGAGGAATCATTCCTCTAAATGAGTGTGTTGTTAGTTTTCTGGGCTGAGTTTTAATTCGCGAGAAATCGGTGATTGAAGTGTTTGTTTACAAAAGCAATTACGCCCAAATCTCAAATCACTCCGGAGTTAACTGATTAACTGGTTACAGACTACTGTGATAATTTCAAGTTTCATATGGTTGCTGTGATTTTTTTGTTAGCTCAACACATAGAGATGCAGAAAATTATGTAGAAGTTCAGCGAATTTTGCACTTCGTCAAACATAATTGAACTTTGTAAACAATTAAGGCCCACGCACATTAGATCAGGATCGGACGCGTTGCGGCAAAGTGACAGCTAAATCTATTGTCCAATTGTCAAATTTACGTCAACGCAACGCAAACGGATCTAATGTGGGTGGCCCTTTAGCGAACCTTCGACCAATTTATATAAATTCTTTGAAGTTCAAGGGATTTTCTAAAAAGTTCAGGGATCATCGTAGAATTTCAAGAAAACTTCGAACTTTATAGACCTTCAGGGAACATGGTAAAAAATCAGGAAACTTCGTATGACTTCGTAGAATGTCAGGCAATTTCGTAGAAGTTCCGAAAACCACGTAGAAGTTCAGGAATCTTTCTAGAAGTGCAACAAATGCTTTAGAAGCTAAGCGATTTATTTTAAGTTATGAAGTTTTTTAGAAATTTGAAGAAGTTAAGTCAATTTTGTAGAACTGAATTGAACTTTGCCAAAATTTAGCGAACCTTAGATAAATTTACGGGAATTCTTTGATGAAACATAGAAAAAGTTTTAGAAATACAGCAATTTTTTTAGTAGCTCAGCATTTTTTTTAGAATTTTAGTGAACTTAAGAATTTCATTAAACTTTGTAGAAGTGCATTATGGAGAAATTCACCGAATTTTGTAGGAGTTCAGTGAAATTCGAAGAAGTTTAGTTAATTTTGTAGAAAAGAATTGTACTTTGCCAAAATTTAGCGAACCTTCGATAAATTCAGGGAAATTATAGAAATTCTTTGAAGTTCAAGGGATTTCCAAAGAAGTTCAGGGATCATCGTAGAATTTCAAGAGAACTTCGAAAACATTCTAGGAACTTTAAAGAGCAGGCAACTTCAGGCAACTTCGTAGAATTTCAGGCAATTTCGTAGAAGTTCAGGAAACTGCATAGAAGATCAGGAATCTTTCTAAAAGTGCAACAAATGTTTTAGAAATTAAGCGATTTTTCTAGAAGATTTTTAGAAATTTGAAGAAGTTTAGTCAATTTTGTAGAACTGAATTGAACTTTGCCAAAATTTAGCGAACCTTAGATAAATTAACGGAAATGCTTTGAAGCTCACCTCGCAAAGCTTCAGGTATTTCATAGAAGAAGTTTTAGAAGTACAGTAAATGTTTTAGAAGTTCAGCATTTTTTAGAATTTAAGTGAACTTCTAAGACATTCATTAAACTTTGTAGAAGTGCAAAACATTATGGAGAAAATCACAGAATTTCGTAGAAGTTCAGCGAAATTCGAAGAAGTTCACCGAATTTTGTAGAATAGAATTGAACTTTGCCAAAACTTAGCGAACCTTAAGATAAATTCAGAGAAATTCTTTAAAGTTCACATCGCTTCACACTTCAGGGACTTCAAAGAAGATCACAAATTCAGCAAACTTCGTAGGTAGAAATTCAGGAAACTTCGTAGCTCAGTTGGTTATCTTTATTAACGAGACTTCAGCTAAAGGCTGGTTCTCATCGGAGGAAACTTGGTAGGAATTATTGGAGCTTCATAGGAAACTTTGTTAAAGTGGAAACTTTGTATAAGTTTGGGGATGTTCATAGAAGTTATGAGAAAATCGTATAATTTCAGGGAATCATATGAATGTTTTAACACATGTCAGGGCACTTTTTTGAAGTTTAATGGACTTAGAATGGATCAGCGAATTCCGAAAAAGTTCAAGAAATTTCGTGGAACTTCGCGGAAAATCCAACTAGAAGGTAGAAGTGCAGCTAATTCCGTAGAAGTTAAGCTAATTACGTAGCGATTCGAGGAACTGTGTAAAACTTTATAGAAATGCAAGGAAAAAGTACATGGAATTTCGGCGAAGTTTAAAAAAATCACCGTAAGTTCAGTAAATTTCTATGAATTTCAGGGATCTTAGTTTCAGTATAAAGAACTTCCCGAGCACGAAACCATAACAAACCGATAACATTTGAATACCATAATCAGGTATGATACCATATTTTGGTATTGATTAGTTACGACTTAAATGCATCAAATAACCTACGAATACCTACATGAGTTATTAAACCTTATTTTGCTATTACTCAGTTATTGAGGTGTTTTGTAAATCACCAAACGAATAACTCAATAAGCTACGTGATATTTCAGTATTTTGGAGTTCGTAAAAAGCTTGTTGCAAATCAAACGTTTTATATTGTATAAGTTGACATAAGAAATTATTAACATTTACTTACAATGTGTTTTATTTTCATTCATATGATGATAAAAGTTCTGCTGATTTTTTTTTTTAAATATCATAAACAAATTGTGTTAATCAACCTGAATGATTACTTTACATTTTGAAATAAATTTGATTTCCTTACATTCATGTATAATTATCATATTTATGCACTGACGGATTGATTTATCAACCTTAATTATCCTTAAGTTGTCACTTTCATTATATATGTACAAATTATCAGAAACTGGTTCAACTATAAGTTGTATTCCTACAAAATAAGGCTGTTCATGCTTGTCACTGAGAATGCTATGAATGTTATAGAAATATCCATTTTTCCAAATCCAAGAATCATCGTATCGAAAGTTTTGGCATGTTAATTTGGTACAAAAGCTCAATCCATTGAAAAATATTTTGCTCTGGGTGCTAAATTCTGATTCCGAAATTCCATCTTCGAATGTTACATTGAAATCACTAGAAAACAAAAACCGTTTATCAAACTTTACCGATGGATGGTTTTTTTTCCAGAGTGATTGAACCCAAGGGTAAATAATAGAATCCTTTGGTGCGTGAGTCATGTGAACCAACCTGTTGAGACGATATTTTCGTTCAATTTGTATAATTGGTTTGTTGTTACCGCTCCTAAAGTTCAACAACATTCCATTGCCTGGAAACAAGTTTTCCTTTATACAAATTTTTACTAGAAAAACTCATAAATAATTTTACCTGATTCGTATGAAAAGAGCGAGCTATTGTATAATGCACCTGTGTTACGAGCCGTATATCCAAGATGCGTTAGCAAATGAATGTTATATGTCATGTTATCTCTTCCAAAATGTGCTTCAAATTGTCCAACAAATTCATCAATACGTTTCTCACATGCATCAATTGTTGATTGAGCTAGATTGGGATCTAGCAATAGAAAAACTACAGATGAGAGCTCTATTAGGTGATCCAGAAACGGTTGTTTCAATATTCCATATAGTGACGGATAAACATAATGCAGCAAAAAAGCCTCCCATTCATTCGCTTTATACCGTTTTTGTTCATCCAATGGTCTCGGGTTTCTTGGAAAACTGCTAGGAGGTCGGAAACTTTGCATTCGTTCGTTAACCACTTGGATTTGTCGCCCAATGTAATAATCCTGCTTGTGATTTTCAGTCTCGGTGTACAATGCTATTATCTGCTTAATTACCCCCAAATCCACGGCGTGCATGTAATCAACTGGATATCCTGCTATGATGTCAAAATTCTCAATGTACGTAAACACGGATTTCCCCATGATTCCATATGATTCCTGTCCTGTGCTATTAACTTCATCCATTTGTTTTCGAGTGATCATGTTTTCACGCATTTTCGAAGCCTTTTGAGGGTAACATCGTCCATTGCGGGTGCTTCTAGTTTCTCCTGGGTGAAGACACAAAGTGCAACCATGCTCTCCATTAAATTGCTTGCTGCACTGCACTTTACAACGAGCTACTGAATCTAAACAGTTTTGTAAAAGAACAACTTTGTATCTTTCGCCTCCAATTAGTATTCCTTCTTGCAGTTTTCGCAGCTCAATGCAAAGATATTTGAATAATAAATTTGGGTTAGGCTCTCCTTTGGACAACCACAAACCTGCCACCATTAGATTGTTCTTTTGGAACCGAATTGCTGGAGGCAAATTGTTCAACGTAACGAAAATAGGATACAGAGGTTTCCTGGTAGTAGATCGGAAGGGTGCGGCTCCATCGGTATTAATACTTAACGTAAGGTATTTTCCTGGTTCATTCTGCAATAAACGACGCGCAATCATTCCACGGTTCACATCAGCGATTCCATCACGATCGATGACCTTTGTGTATTGTTCGATTTCAAGTTGATATTTTTCAAATGTTTCCCTTAATTGAGGTTCAATTGAAGTAATAAGAAAAAAATCATTTTCAGGAGATTCACAGATAGGACATGTTACAGCTGATTCCGGCTGATTAGCGCCATAATCATATTGACAATTGATGCAGAAATAGATTCTGACTGGTGTACACGAATACGCATCGAATAAACTTGAAAAAGTTTGAAATGATTCTGGGAAAGTTTTAGTGCCTGTAATTATATTCATCATCCGCAACAAATCTTCCAAAGCTTCCTGTGTAAGGCGATGTCGAATATAATAATTCAGTAACATAAATAGAATCTCAACCGTGAGTAAATCAGAATGGATTTGAAATTGTTTGGAATGATTTTCAGAGAATATCTGAAAGTAGTGAAAGTAGTAGTAAATACTTTTTTCTTAATATGGTAAATTTAAACCTTGAAAAAATGATTCCAACTGGTCGATCGATTTTGATCCGCGTTGAGTTGCCTTTGCTCTTCGTGTAGAATGTTTTGCTTACTTGACAATGTTTCTTGTGGAACGAGCGCATGTACTGTAACTTGTACACTCTCTCGATCTTGAGCATGTTGAACGGAAAGGTCTTCTGGTAGGTCTGTCACGTCTTCTGCGAATTGGCTTGGTGGATTATGAGCCACAGGTGTTGTGATATTTTCATGCGAATCATCATCTGCTTCCACACAGGAATTGTTTAATTTTCTTCGATAATCAGCACTGCAGCTTGACATTGCGTTCACGATGGTATCCACGTCATTTGATGTGTCCTGGGTCCGATGATGAACGTTAATTTTAACCTTTAATAACACATAGCTTTAAGTTTTGCAAGCATTTACAGTGATCATATATTCAATTACCTTTTTTTCGTACTTCCGCCCATCATTAGACGGTGATAGATAATAATTCCGTCTTCTCCGTGGTTTCATAATTTAGTTTTTGCAAAAAACGTTGAATATTTTTTATAAAAACTGACTGCCTTTTTAAAAATAACAACTCCTACAAACAACATGCAATGTTGACACGATGTGCGGTATATATAGGTGAGGCAGAAGGAAACTGATCGACAATTCCGCTCTCACGGTGTTGTTATGCATGATACGACATGACGTCACGTCGAGTTATGCATAAGAACACTGTAAGAATGAAAGCATCGACTAGTTTCTTTCTGTCACACCTATAGACCTGTGCACGGGTGAACTTTAGTTCATCTACTGACATTTTTTTGACACAACAGCGGGGACCTGTTTACTAAAAATGAACACGGGAGCATTACCGTAATATTTGAAAAGGGCCTATCAACTTTTGTAAATAATTTGCTAGGTCGTTTTCACGAGAACCGAAAGTACGCCCACGAAACCAAGAGCACTATCGGAAAGGGAAGAATTTCATTTGCCCGATGGTGTTGTTAGCTTGCGTGAGCGTATTCGGTTCGCGCGAAAAAGGCTTAACAAGTTTTGTGTACATAAGTTGATAGACCCGTTTCAAATGTTACGTGAGTATTATTCATGTGTTAATTTTTAGTAAACAGGGCCCCGCTGTTGTGTCACTTTTTGTCGAGTGAGTGAACTTAAATCCATCCGTGCACTCGTCTATATATACACGCTATTTTGTGGCTACTCATTTTTGAGTCGAAAATCACTCAGTCCATCCAAAAGGGAAGTTAGCTAAAAATGAGTAAACATGATTTTACTCAAATTTGAGTAAACGAGCCTATGGAGGAAACTGGGTAACGGTTACTCAGATTATGACATTTATCAACTGAGTAAACCTTACCAATATCGGTAGAAACGAATGAATGCCCCATGAATGCTTTATATGTATGTAATTGGTTTCGTCCAGGAAGAATATTAAATAAAATATTGTGAAAATGATAATTCTGTATTTATTGATACCAAAGAACTATTTGTTAGAGTTGTATACGTAACCAACTAGCTACTGATAGCTTTCACCATCCATTTTATTACGTAGCTGCTCCATTTTCACTGTTTCACTTCTAAAAACTAATTTTAAACTCACTGCGCAAAGATCGCCCGTTCAAAGTGCGCCATTTTGAACTTAGGAAAAATTGATATCAGAACCATTTACCCACAATCTGGGTAGATCCAACTCATTGCAGTAAAACCAGTCTACTCATTTTTTGACAACTCCATACAGCATGCAAAAATGAGTGCGATCTACCCAGTCACTGAGTAGTCCACAAATAGCGTGTACAACACATATCGGTGATGACAGTTGAATGGAATGTAGTTTTTTTCTTAAATAGGTGGTCTACGTTCACAATATAGGTACACTGAAAACAAAAGCGAATTTAACATGCTGTGGATGCATACCTGAGATTGGTCTTGTTTATTTTTTTTTTTGTTTTTCGCTGAAAGTATTATTATGATAACGATTTCTATGATAAGTTGTAATCAATTATTGACAAACATATTTCAATTACTCCAAATAAATCAGAAAGTATTTGAAAATGTTTTTCAGAGAATACCATAGAGTTTACTCAGTCGCCTTAAATGTGGGTAGTTTATAACAAACGTGCAGATATTTTTTTTCATATTTTGCAATAACCATAAGAAGTGCTTAACAACCCATTCTGGTTACCACCCCAACTTTATGTGTAATGATTGCACTATGTTTGGTATGGTCCATGTATGGTAATCGTATATTAGGAAGTGCACGATTGGGTGAACCTCACTTAACTTGACAAATAAGGGTGGTTTGTTTACCAAAAAGTGAAGCTGAAAAGAGAGTGCGGGGCAAGGACGTACCACCCCGTTCTTACCCCACACCCTCTCTTCACCTTCACTGTTTGGTTAACCTACCACAATCATCTTTCAAATTAGGTAAGGTTAACCCGCTCGCGAGTACTTTTTTCTTATCGTGAAAATTTTCTTCAGTGCATTCATTTCAATGTGACAACCTCAATTGTGCTGATGAACCACTATCTTTGCTTTCACTTATTTACGCGTTTGATCTCATCCTTCTTTCTATTACGCTGTGTTGAAAATCTTCAAAAAAATGGCAAAAACTAGGAAAACTGTCAACAAAAAACAAGTGCAAAAGGCAGCCAATGCTGCAAACATGTGTGTCCTGGAAAATGTAAGTATTTATAACAAAATATCTCAAAGGAAAGTTTTTGAGACAATCATAACATCTGCACGTAACCTCAAATATTCTGTTCTGCCATAATGCATCGTTTGCATTAAATTTGTCATAAATGGAGATTTTTAGCTTAATTTTAATATATTTTTTCAATCTTATTTCAGCAAACAATCGATCCCCAGCCTGGTCCTTCGACCAAAAAACAGCGGAAGATAATCGAGGTAAAGACGATTTTAAAACGAATCCCAACACGCGCTTTCCATAACCTCAAATTGCTTGCAATGAAAAGTAACTTTAAAATATTTACAGCAAACAATCGAACCGCTGCCTGGTACTTCCGGTACTGCCGGTACGTCAACCAAACTCAAGGAAAAATCGATAAAAGTTTCAGATGAGGTAGGTTTTTCAAGTGTTTTGTTTAAATCCACGAAGATTTACACATAACCTATTATTTTTAGCCTATGGACTTGAGCACTTCGATATTTGAGGCAGTATTTGAGCATCCTGAACTCGGTGACATGAAGACGAACATTTTTGAGGAGACTGCAACACAAGTTACCACTGATATTGAATCAGTTGATCCACTGCAGGTGAATCTCGATACGGTTCGTCATGCAGACATTGCTCATTCTCAAGCAAGTCAAACTGCTGCTAACATCAACGATGATTCAAATCTCCACAAAGAATGTAACGCTCAGATCGAAAAACTACAAGAACAAAATTCGCAGTTAAAGGAGGATAATGCGAAGCTTAAAGCTGAGAATACGCAGCTGTCATCCCTTAATTTCAAGCTCCAACATAAAATGGTTCAGGACAACAATCGTTTGTTGGTTTTTACAGCAGTTGATGGTTATCCATCTTCTGAGTGGCTGCTGCGAACATCACAAGCTGCTAACAAAAGTGATTACTTATTTGTCAAGGAGCTTGTGATGATGCTGTGGCCTGATGGAGTTGGTCACGCCACAGTAACGGGCCGCAGATCAAATAATCCGAGCGGAAAGAAGAAACGCACTGACGCAAGTGTGGAAGAAACTTCAGCGTCGTCAGTAGCATCGTCGTCAAAAGCAGCATCATCCTCAGTAGCACCAGCTTCATCATCCTCATCAGAACCAGCACCATCGTCAACGTCGACAGTTGTAGACGATCTTCCCTCAAAGTTGGATCCACAGAAAGTGCAGTACATCGTAGGTATGTAAACAAAAGATACCTTTAGGAAGTTGTAATAAAGCTTAATTGTTTACAGATCGTCTGCGCGAACGACGGCAGCTTTTACAAGACCCACCCGGTGTCGCGAACGATCTGTCAAAGAAAGCAATCACTCACATTACTCGGACCCTGGCTAACAATCCAGCACTCAAATCTGTCGATCGCTGAAGAGCGGAGAATCCGGTATTATTAATTCGTTTCAATGAATTTCTTTTAAATTTCATGTAAATGTGTTATGTTTCGTTTTATCATACAGGACCAAAACGATGATTTTTTACAAAAATGAATGTAAGAATGTTAAGTTTTTACAAATAAACTTTTTTTTAAATTCATAGATGAAAGGTTTATTTTGGTGCTGAACAGGTACAAAATAAATGCTTAATTTGGTATTTTTGTGGGCTTTTTACTAACAAAAAAAAATACCAAAACGTGGTATTATACAAAACACCTTATGGAGTTATTGGTTAAGTATTGAAGACCTTCAGGATACCAAAATATGTTATTCTAACGATAAATGGCATTGATTATTCGTCAGTTATTATAATAACAAAACAAGTGATTATATTGGTATTCGAAGAACATTTCTAAGTTATTATTTTTGGTATTTTACCTCTTATGTCAGGCTCGTCAATACTTTATCAAGGTATTCAGTTATGCTGTATAGCATACCTGAGTATGTTATTCATCAGTTATTTTCTTCTGCTCGGGTTCTTAACAGTTTGTTAGAGATCTTATTTCAAAATAGCTGAATGAATTTTCTTAAACCATCTGGCATCCCTGCTTACATGAGTATTCTTCTTTATCGGCTTATTCATCCGAATAACGAATAACCCCCACCCAAGCGACACCTATCGCTACAGCGACGCACTGCCGCGCATAGACTACCAATGCGGTGAACTTCATTTAACTTAGGTTCAACATCAGGGCGTGATGAGTAGGTCTGCTCAGCAGCTCGATTGCTGATGCCGGTTGCCTCCCAATTTACCTTGTTACGAATAACAGCCGGCAGAATTGGTCTGATCCTGATTCAACCTCCCCCCCATACAATGAATACACACACACGATTCATCCTAAATGAATGATTTCTGTTTCCCTCTGCCCCCTGACGAAGGCCTTCAACGATTACTACAACAATGAACACACCCGGCTGCTGAAAATGTGGCGCGAAGTGGTCAACGTGAAACGCATGTACAAAGAGATGGTCTCCACCACCAAGGTGGAACTCGGCCGGATGCATCTGGAGCTGTCCGGTACCGGCCGGGAGGTGGTCGGTGCCTGCAGCGGCGTTGCCGTCAATATGAAGCAGACGTCAAAGATTGAGGTGATTCCGCCGCTTTCTTCCGTTGAACACTGTCCATAAATTTGCGTTTGTGTAACCTCTTTGTTGCAGGAAGCCCAACAGATGCACATCGAACGGGAGAACCTGGATCTCAAGTCGCAGCTCGGCGACCTTCGAATGCAGCACGAAAATGCCAAGCTAGAGATTGCCCAACGTGATCAGCGTCTGCAGCAGATGCTTCAAGATCTCAAGCTCATGGAGGAACGCTACGTCCAGGTGGAGAGCCAAGCCGGACAAACACAGCGTCTCAACGACGAGTTGGAGCGCCTGCAGGGCGCCTTGCGCGACATTGCCCATGCCGTGGTTCAGGACGCGGAAACTTCGGCCACAGCCGAAGCGGACACATCCACCCATCATTTGCACCTGTCGCAGTCGAGTGGTATGCCGGCCCCGCCCCGTTCCCCGAAACGGGGTACCATACGTTCGTCGCACGCGTTTGCCGAGGGAACGATTTCGGCGGTGCAGGCTGCTCTGCACAAGTACCAACTGGCGATCCACGATCTACAGGTTAAGTTGCAAACGAACACCGATGCGCTGGCCGCTACCAGGAAGCAGTTCGAGAACTGTGAACACACACGGGACGTGCTGACCGGGAAGGTGGGTGAGCTGACCGAGAAGCTGGACTCGGCCAACCATCAGCTGTCGGAGCTGTACAAGGAACGGGACAGCCTGCAGAAAACGCTGGACGGTCTCCGGACGGATAAACACAGCGTCGAGAGGGGCAAGGCGGAACTGAATTCGATTGTAATTGTGAAGCAGGTGGGTAATTGAGGCAGAATTGAATTTCGATGAGTTTTCTCATTTTAGGTCGACAGTTTAAACACTGACTACGAGAAGCTGCAGAATGTGAACAGTAAGTTGCAAAAGATGTACGACTCCCTGGAGGAGGAAAAGAAGATGCTGGAATGTGAGTTGCAGCGGGTGCAGAAGGATAAGGATATTCAGGAAATGAGTCTAAGGTAAGTGGTGATACTGTTTACTCTGGTTTACCAATATGATCGCTGTGTCGTTTCAATTTTAGTATATGTCCAAAACAAAAAACTATGATTTTGCACAAGCAATTTTGTTTTAAGTTAGGTTTGGTTTGTGTGCCAAAAATATCAAAATTACAATAAGAAAAAAATAATTGAGAGCGACCGTGACAGGACTCGAACCTGCAATCTTCGGATCCGAAGTCCGACGCCTTCTCCATTAGGCCACACGGTCAGGTGATGTGAGGCTGTTCAGAGACTCTTTTGAGCGGGAGCTCCTTGTCGATGGAAGAGACGAAAGATAGGTGCGACGGGAAGAGAAAATAAAGGGAACTTTCAAATGTCAACATGGTAAATACAGTTAATCATAAAGTTGAGCAGCTTTGAGACGACTTTCTAGCAGCGATTTTATGAAAGTGAAGTGATAAGTTCATGATTTTTCTTGCTTATCATAGCTAAGATCCTAGTTTTTTTCAGGTTATAGATGATTTTTTTTTTTTAATTTCCCACGGTTCAAGTTTGAGTGGTAGGAAATGTCATTTTAAACTGCTCGAATGATATGCCGGATTATGTATACCTACCTACTATACACATGTACTGGGTCGCTGATGATGGTGTGAAAGTCGGTAAATAAGGTAATAGCTTTCTTATTGGAAGCAGTGTTGCCAGAATTGCTAAATGATTACTATTATTTTACAGTTTCCAGTCTAATTCAGACACCCCAAGATTATTTAAACTTCAGGTGCAAACGCAAATGCAATCCACTAAATGTATCCCTATAATTGATGCCTTCTAACAAGAATGGCTATTATAATCTAATTGGTTTCATATAATGGGTCCCTACAAATGTTATATCCTAACTGGAATTAGTATACGTGAAGATTTTTCAGAGTATACTATTTCCTAATTAACCACTTCATTCGAGCAGATAAAATGACGTTTACTACCACTCGAACTTTGAAATGAAACATTATTTTGAGATTTTTTCTTCTAGAACCTCAAGAAAAGTAGCCAACATTTGTGCGTTTCATAAAAAAATAGAAATTAGTTGGTCCAGTTTTGTGAAATCGCTGGTAGAAAGTCACGCCAAAACTGCTTGACAAAGTGGTCAATTAGTTTCCAATGTATTCCAATTAGGCAAGTTGGATTTTGTCCCTTTAAAATTGCTTCTGCGAGTTTTTCCACCTAACCTGAAGTTTAAACGATCTTGGTTACTTCATATTTTGCCGCTCTTGGCAAGTCCGTCACATTAAAAATCATTTACATTCATTCCGTCCCTAATAAATATTTACACTGAAAAAAGTTTTCACTTAGTTTCTATTAGGAACGCACATAGTACTTTTCCAAAAACAAAAACAATGATTTTTACCTGCATATCACATAGCTTTAGAAATTCTATATGAGAAATCATATAGATTTCATTGGACACATAACGTTTTAGTGGTGCAATTTCCAATCATGGGATCACATTAAAGTTAATTAATTAATTTAGCTTTATTTAGGAGGCTTTCCATTAAAGTTATGTGAAATTCACATGGATATTTTCCACTGGTTATGTGATTTATTTTATGAGTGTACATATTTACATTCATGCGCCTCTACCTTTTTTCATGAACAGAATTTCGTAAAAATGATGCATTAAGCTTTTTTTTTTTGGACTTTAAATGACCTATATTTCTTGAATTTGTGTGTTTTACATGTAAAACTTATCAAGTGACACAGATGCGTCTTTTCAACTTTAGTTATATTAAATTTTAATAATTATTAATTACAGTTCCTAGTTCCATTAGGCCTGTTTAGAGAATGACCACCTTAGTGGGATTGGTTTGTTTGAAATTGGAAAACGAGACTACTTAAAACTACTATTTACAACTACTATATACACATAACCTACTATATACAAATTGCTTATCAAAGTATGTTCTGATGTATTGCATTTCTGCACAAATATGTTCCTAGTTTCGTTAATTTGAAAATCTACTTTCGGAATGTTAGCCTCTTGATGGAGGTCGGAAATGCTGGTATTGTAAGGACGACCAAGAATCATCCTCAATACCCTGTTCTGCGCTACCTGAATTTTGTTCCTGTGAGTTTGTGAACATGATTCCCACACCGGAGCTGCGTAGACAATCGCTGGCGCAATGATTTGTTTGTAGACAGTCAGTTTGTTCACTCTAGAGAGACGAGATCTGCGGCAAATTAGCGGATACAAGCACCTAAGGGCCTGTTCATAAGCTACGTAGACAGATTTTGGGGATTCTTGACCCCCCTCCCCCTGCGTAGATAATTGTCCATACAAATGTTTTTAAATTTGTATGGGCCGTGGATAATTGTCAACCCCCCCTAAACTGTCGACGTAGTTTATGAACAGCCCCTAACTAGATTGGAACACTTAACTACTGTCCTATCTATGTACGAGCGGAAAAGGAGCTTCTCGCCAAATAACATTCCAAAATATGTTACTTCGGTGGACCACTCAACCCTTTTGCCATCCATTATTACAGTACTCTTGTACTGTTTTAGTTTGGGAGATTGCCGATGGAGGAACATTATTGATTGGGTTTTGGAGGCATTGATTTTGATTTTCCACGTGTTGGCATAATCAGCAAAGGCGTCAAGGCATCGTTGAAGCTTGGGTCCTTCCCTTGACGGTTATAGCGGTATCATCTGCGGACAGAAAGAACACGCAACCGTTGCCCAAGGGAGGAATATCGGTAGTGTAGATGCTGTATAGCAAAGGGCCCAACAGACTTCCTCGCGGAACACCTACTGGGATGGAAAATGTGCTTGAATGGCAACCATTCAACGATACCTTGAACGACCTTTGCTGGAGGTAGGTGGTTTCGGGTGATTTTTACAAGATATGGTAGAAAGTTGAAGTTACAAAGCTTGTACACAAGTCCGTTGCGCCAGAGATTGTCAAACGCTTTTTCAACGTCTAACAATGCCATGGCTGTGGACTTGGATACAGCTTTGTTACTTCGAATGTTATTCATCACCCGAACTAGCTGGTGATTTGTAGAAGGCCCGTTCCTAAACTTCTCCTCGACAAACTTAAGCAAACAGTTGAGAATTAGTTTCTCGAACAATTTGCTCAGCGCTGAAAGGAGGCTGATTGGTCTGTAGCTGGAATGAGATGGATCCTTACCGGGTTTGCGGATTGGTATGATTTTTGCTACCTTGCAGATACGTCAAACCCGGGAGCCTTAATGTTCTTTGTGTTTTTCAGCGTTAAGCAAATCTGCTCCACTGTAATAATGGACGACAAAAGGGGAGGCGTCCAAGTTTAGTACACATTGTGCAACCTGATTTTCAAGCGGACTTTAGATGATGAAGCCAAGCAGATGCGACGAAGCAATGTGGTTGCCAATCGCATTTGCTTTCTCCTGCGGGGTGATTTTGAGCCGATCGTCATAATTTTCGACTCTGAGTGGTTTGGGATGAGTCTTCAAGACCTTGGCTACCTTCCAGAATGGTCTGGAGCGCTCGTCCAGATTCTGGACAACCTGCCTGAAACTTTCGTTTCTGAGGGAGACCATTCTGGAAGCAATCTCCTTGTTCAGGTCGGCTATTTATTTTATTTTTTACACAGATCACCAGTCCTCTGAAACTGGCGTCTACAAACTTTTCTTAAAAGAATCAATAATTGGGTGTGGGAATCAATGACAACAAACTTGACGAGCACACGTCTCGTCGGCCACGGAAATGGCCTGGTGAAGTCCTTCCAGCGCCCGATCGATGTCCTCTACGATGTCAAGTGGCGGATTTTCGTCGATGTTGACGTGGTGGTAGTCTTTTCGTAGGATTGGAGCAGGAGCTATGTTGACGCCGACCTCAGCCACCACCGGTTGGTTACTTACCTTACCAATCAGGCTAAGGCCTTGTTGTTCTCTGCTGTCCGAAGAAGTCGTCTCCACTCTGCTTGATCCATGGCCACAGTTCGTAATGACCATGGCCACAGTTCGTAATCTGCGAAGGGTCCGCAGGTCACCTTCTACTTGGTCGATCCACCTTGCCCGCAGCGCGCCTCTTCTTCTTGTTCCTGTTGGGTCACTTTCTAGAACCATTTTCACTGGATCGTCGTGCGGCATTCTTACGACGTGCCCAGCCCACCGTAAACGCCCAATTTTTGCATTGTGGACGATGGATGGTTCACCCAGCAGCTGGTGCAATTCGTGGTTCACGTTCCGTCATCCATCTGCACTCCACCGTAGATGGTACGCAACACCTTCCATTCGAAAACACCAAGGGCGTGTTGGTCCTCCACGAGCATAGTCCAGGTCTCATGGCCGTAGAGGGCCACCGGTCTAATCAGCGTCTTGTAGACAGTTAACTTCGTGCGGCGGCGAATTTTATTCGACCGGAGCGTCCTCCGGAATCCAAAGTAGACACGATTCCCTGCCATAATGCGTCTTTGAATTTCTCTGCTGGTATCATTATCGGCGGTCACCAGTGAGCCCAAATACAAGAACTCATCGACCACCTTGATTTCGTCACCGTCAATCTGAACTCGGGTGGGAGGCTAACATTGTCTTCCCTAGAACCTCTTCCTTTCATGTATTTTGTCTTTGATGCGTTGATGACAAGTCCAGTCCGCCTAGCTTCAGCCATCAGTTTGATGTACGTTTCTGCCATCGTCTCAAAGTTCCGTGCCATGATGTCGATGTCATCGGCGAAGCCAAGAAGCTGAATTGACTTCCTGAAGATCGTGCCACTCGTGTCTATCCCTGCTCTTCTGATCACACCTTCTAACGCGATGTTGAATAGCAGACACGAAAGTCCATTACCTTGCCGTAACCCCCTTCGAGATTCAAAGGGACTCGAGAGTGTCCCCGATACTCGAACAACGCACATCACTCGATCCATCGTCGCCTTGACCAATCGCGTCAGTTTATTCGGAAATCCGTACTCGTGCATAATCTGCCATAAGCTGATCTCGATCGATTGTGTCGTATGCGCATTTGAAATCGATGAACAAATGATGTGTGGGCACGTTGTATTCGCGGCATTTCTGCAGAACCTGCCGAATCGCGAAAATTTGGTCCGTGGTAGCGCGGGCACCCATGAATCCCGCCTGGTATTGCCCCACGAACTCTCTTGCAAATGGTGACAGGCGGCGGCATAGAATTTGGGAGAGTACCTTGTAGGTGGCGCTCAGCAGTGTGATCGCACGGTAGTTGCAGCAATCCAACTTGTCGCCCTTTTTGTAGATTGGGCATACGACACCTTCCATCCACTTCTTCGGTAATATCTCCTCCTCGCAAAACTTGGCAATTACCCAGTGCAGCGCACTAGCCAGTGCTTCACCACCGTATTTTAATATAATACAAAATGCTACAGCTAAGCGAAACAATTTTCTAGAATTTGTACAAAGCAGTGTTGTAACAGGTTGTATTAGCTATCAAAAGCACCAGCAAACGCACCGAGAAACGTTAGTTCAAGTGAGTTATTAACAAAAGAGAAATCGACGAAGAGAATCGATCATCGCGTTTACGCCCTTATGCATGCTCACTGTCGAAATCTCTTGTTCATTTTTCAAGACGTTTCTCAAATATTCTCCCAAGATGACAGATTGAACAGGTACCTAGTAAAGAGCCTGCATTTATAAAGAGACGACATCTTATCCATTTGAGACAGGTCTTCTGCTCGATTTGAATGGCTTTTCCTATGACTTTGACAGACAATAGATTGTTCCAATTTGACATGTCGCCTCTTTATAAATTTAGGCTCTAGGTACTACACTCGTGTAAACTCTACAGCTTCATGTAACCGATAATGAACGATCGTCGGTCATAGCTTGTTGGGGGAAGGTGGCCTTAGAGCGACCGTTTTTGCTTACTGAGCAGAAGATCGTGGGTTAAAACCCAAGCCTCTTAAGGCTGGCGCACAATGCATAAGTTTCCGGGTTTTTTGACAGATAATGCATGGGCTAACTGTCAAAAAACCTGAAAACTTATCCATTGTGCGCCGGCCTTTAACATTACTGAGTTTGATAGGGTCGCGTCATTTGCTTAACAGGTTTTAAAAGATCGCATCAGTTTCCAATATGAATCCATATCTAATTTACCCTTCCCACTAACAAAAACGTCCTTCCCGTGACAACCGTGCAGATGTAGAGGTATATTCGGACACTGAGAATGGATTGCTAGTCCCAAGCCCCATTCATATGGTTCTTTGTTAAAATTTCGCTAAACCTGGTCAATCACGGAGTAACAACTACTGAAATGTATGGTCGTCAATGCTCATGCTCATGCTACGTCAAATTCAAGCATCATTTCTGACAGTTCTGATTTATTTTCTAGGGGCTCATGCATGAACACTTTGGATAGTTGCCCTTCACCAAGTGGGTTATGGGTTTCGTCCAACGAGCGAAAGTTGATTGTATTTAAAAGATCTCCAGCTATTTCAAGATTTCAGTAAAATGCTGTTGATATTCAAGACGATCAAGACATATGAAGTCAAAGCAAAAATCTTCATAATATGTCTGCTTAAAATGAAAAAAAAGAACCTTCGGAAGTTTTCTTCAGTTTCAGCATGTCTACAAACTTTAAAAACATAGCTTTAAAATGTGTGTCAATCTGAAATTTATTGCATAAAATCATTGGTAGAAGGTCGTTCCAAAACTGCTCAACAATATGATTATTAGCAAGAAATCTATCATGGTCTATTAGTATCGTTCAAAATTATCACACATATCAAGTTGCAAAGTAGAAAAAAATATTTAATCAAAAAATAAATGAACCGTTCAGTATTCGGTGACACCGTGCATTCTAGTAAAAAAAAAAGCGTCTCCCCGTGACAGTGTTTTTCACACTGCCGTGACCAGGATTCGAACCTGGGTTACTACGGCCACAACGTAGGGTCCTAACCACTAGACGATCACGGCTACCGAGACATGTGAAACGTTGCTGCCTAGAACAGTATATAAGCGAACGCCCCATTCAATCATTCATTCCTCTCATTTTCTCTCATTTTCCCACACCAGAGCCGAGGAGGAGCGTTCGAGCAGACTGCGCGAAGAAACCATCACCCTGCGAGAGGAACTGAACAAGCTCTACCTGTCGCGTGACTTGCTCGAACAGCAACGTATCGAATCGGACGGGCTGCTCAACATGATTGAGAAGCAAAAGATCGAACTGGAATACGAACTGGATCGGATCATCAACGAGAAGGACGGTCTGCATATGACGCTGGAGAAAAAGAGTTCCTCCAACGGGCACCTGGAGGTGGAAATAAAACAGCTCAAGGCGGGCATCTTTCAGCTGGAAGACGAGCGGAACCGTTTGAAGACGCAGGTGTCCGACCAGGGAGTGGATCTAGCGGCACTGAAGAAGGAGCTGATCTCTGCCGAGCAGGCCAGGTTGGAACTGGATTCGGACAAGTTGGCCATCAGCGAACGGTTGAAGTGCCTGGAGATGGAGAAGGATAAGATTGACCAGGACTTGAGCTGTGTGGCTCGGGAGAGGAACGATTTGAGCAATCAACTGGCGGCAATTTCCCGCAAGAAGGAGACCATTGGGGAGGAAGTGATGCGCTTGAGACAGCGACTGGAGCAGGCCAACGAAATGAACGCCAGATTGAACCGAAATCTGGAGGATCTGGTCAAGGATAGCGAGGAAAAGGCGGTTGTCATCGAGGGGCACGAGAAGGAGCTGCAGAGGTTGCAGGTAAGTTTGTTTTCATTCGCAGCGACCACGACCTTATTCTAAAAATCAAAGGCAAATTTTCATTACATCGAAAGTAACAAAAGTAAACAAAGTCGAGCTATCAGTGTCAATCGATGCTCCTGCTATTACACTATATACTGTCCGAATATAGGATCACATCCCATTTTTAAATTTATTTACCAGTCAAATTGCTTTTTGACGTAATCACCTTCCGATCAAAATATTTTTCGATGTTACTTAAGTCACCCGATTTCGATGGATATGCCATTTGTCTTAAGTACCAGAGTGCAGAGAAACCCGTGAAAAGTGTGCATTCGTCGTTTCGCCTTCTCTTTATTAAAGTGAATAAATCAAACTGTTTGTTACTAAGATGATTTTTGGTGGTCCTAAAATGATGAATGGGCTGCACGTAAGAAGACGTGATTGATAATTCTCCCAAATATCCTGGTAAATAAACTTTGACTTAAGTAACATTAGGGGCCACCAAATGACGTATAATAACTTTAGACTCAAAAACCAGTATTTTTTAGCATTAAATAGCGATCTGCTTTCTATGATTAAAACCCTGTTTAATACGTTTAACTATCACCATGAGATTATATGTGTTTAATTGGAAATACGAATAATCGGTCATCAAAACAAAACTTTATTTTTCTCGGATCGGTGTGAATGTTACTTTCGACATAATGAAAATTCGCTCTTGAATAAGTAATTAGAGTTCACTTTCATAAAAAGAAATAAGAGTAAAAATAAGTAACATTAGGGGCCATCAAACGACGTATAATAACTTTAGACTCACAAACCAGTATTTTTTAGCATGAAAGCTAGCGATCACTGATATTATACGTGTTTATTTCGAAATAGGAATAACTTTTCGGTCATCAAAACAAAACTTTATTTTTCTCGGATCGGTGCGAATGTTACTTTCGACATAATGAAAATTCGCTCTTGAATAAGTAATAATTACTACAGTTATTAGAGTTCAAAACAAAAAACAAAAATGATCCTGCGTCGGCCGGGAATCGAACCCGGATCAACTGCTTGGAAGGCAACTATGCTGACCATTACACCACCGACGCCTTGAAGTAGGTAGCGTTCATAGCACTACCGACTCGGTGGCCCTTCTTTACCCATACTCCCTTTTTTCTTTACCCTTCCTTTTTGGTTCATTTCCTGACCCAAAAACACCGAAACTAATTTCTTCTCCCACCTCCCATCCCATCAGGAGCAACTGGCGTCGCTTCGCAGCGAAAAGGATTCCCTCGAGGCGGTGCTGTTCGACACCAACACGTCCCTCGAGGAAGCCGAAGCCCGGAAGGATGCCCTCGAGCGGGAAAATCAAGATCTCCTAATCAAACAGGAATCGCACAAAGCACTGATTGCTCGCTTGAACAAGGATTTGGAAAACACCGAACGTCGGGCGCAGGACATCAAAATACAGCTGACCAATGCTGCCGCCAATCAGGAGGCGGAATTCCTCCAAAAGTTGTCCAATTTGCGTACCTTCGGGGAGGAGAACATCAAAAAGCTGAACGAAGAAAAGGAAGCGATTCGCAATTCGTTGGAAAAGCGAATGAGCCAAACCTTGCAGGCGTTGGAAAACTGCAAGGACACCGAGATCCACGCACTGAAGGACCAGTTTGAAGCGCTTCAAATGCACCTGGAAGCACTCAACCAGCAGCACGAGGAGGTGATTCTGCGGGCGGAAAACGAGAAGCAACAGGCCCTGCTGATCGCCCACCGGGATAAGCAAGCGGTGATGGAGAAGTTGGACCTGGTCACGCGGGAGCTGAAGGTGGAACTGGACAACAGTGACCGGTTGAAGCGTGAGATGAGCGCTCGGCAGGAGAAGGATCGGACGACGATCGGCTGCTTGCGGGACGAGATTACCAAGATGCGTACCAAAATGGAGGAGGCAAGGATTCGCGCCGAGGAGGAGCTCAATCGGTTGGAGGTGATACAGGGTGCGCTACGGGATGAGAAGGACACGGCACTGAAGGAGATCGAGGAGTTGAAGGTCCAGGTCCGGCTGACGGAGGACCGATGCGACGGGGTCAGTTTGCAGCTGCAGGACACGCAGCGGAAGCTGAAAGAAGGTGAGTGGAATGTTTGGGATTTAAATATTTGCACTCGCGTGCGGATTGCTTGGCATCGACGGATATACTACATGTAGCTCTTTTACTCCTACGGGAAAAATGCCATAAGCAAAGCAACTGTCAGTCTACACGGAGAAAAAATACTACCCAAAATTTGAGTTCTTTTTACTTAATATTGACTTCAGCCTCTCACTTGCACTCGTTATTGTTGTCAAAAAAGGAACGAGAGATTCGACCCAACGATATAGTTCAGCCCAATAAGCTACTTTTGAGTAAATTGCATATTCTCAAATTTGCGTGAATTAAACTTAATATTGGGTAGAATATACTTAAGAGTAGGTAATTTTTTTTGCTGGTGTTAAATGAAAACTACTATATGCGATTTACTCAAATTTGGGTTATTGGGCTGAACCCCGGAATTGAGGGAAAAGTACTTAATTTTGGGTTGTTTTTCATCTCCGTGTATGTGCGGTGCACTGCTCCTTATGCTTTCACTCTACCGGAAAATCCCATAAGAAACTGTCATTTTTTGCGTGACTGGTCACCATCAACTGGTTATGGTAAACTCGAAAATTATGTACTTTTTATTTTGGGTTGTGCCGCTGTAAATAAACTGCTAGTGATTTTCTGCAGCGGCGTTGATGTCGGTGGAGGTTAGTCCCTAATACAATATGTATGGTTAATTTGCTTAACTACGTGCTCAGGGTATCATTTATGAAATAGTTCTATCATTTAGGTTATCGTTCGGATATGGTATTTTTTATTAGGGATGGAATTCACACAGAAGTGAAAATGAAATAAGATGCTTGCTCTCTGCAGCAGACATGTAGGTTCATTTTGAACTTAGTCCATTAAGTAGATCGCCAGATGTTTGGCCGTGAACTAGTGAAAAAATATGGACAATGGATTCCGTTAATAGAGTCCTTAAGTTTATTCCGACACCTTCTAGAAGTATTTCCTGACTTTCTCCGGAAGTTTCTTCTGAATTCTGCCAGAAGTTCCTGCTAACTTCTACCAGAAGATTTTCAGGCGCCGCCGGAGGTTTTATCCGGCTCCACGTAGAATATTCTACCGACTTATAAGGATTTTTTTTTTCTTCAGGAAATTTCTATCAGCTTCCCCTGGAAGTTTTTTTTTAATTTAGTGATAGTTCCAGTATCCGTGAAATTGTTTCCCACCCGATAGGATCTATTTTAATATTTGCTTAATACACCATCTGTCAAAATTAGAAAGGAAAAAAAAAAATATGAATTCAAATAAATTTTCATGCCAGAAAAAATACAAGCGATATTAGTTAGAAAATTAGTTTTTGACATACCGCCCAAAAATTCGGAACATCTTCGGCCATCCACTGGCCACTACAAATTTTCAAATGATTTATTTAAACTGCTATAAATTTCCCGTCAAATGCATTCGGTTACATCAAAATTGGTTTATTTTTCGAAAAGTTAAAGCTATTTCAATATTTTTCGACTTTTTCAAATTGAGACTTTGGACTTTTCTGCATGACTTTGCATAAGTTCGCGGAACTTCCCCCAGAAGTTCGTGGAGCTTCCCCAAAAGTTCGTGGCATTTCCCCCAGAAGTTCGTGGAACTTCCCCCAGAAGTTCGTGGAACTTCCCCCAGAAGATCGTGGAACTTTCTCCAGAAGTTCGTGAATTTCACCCAGAAGTTCGTGGAACTGCCCAGAAGTTCGTGGAACTGCCCAGAAGTTTGAGGACTTGCCAGCAGTTCGATTAACTTGTCAGAAGTTCGAGGAGCTTGCCAGAAATTCGAAGAACTTGCCAGCCAGAAGTTCGAAGAACTTGCCAGCCAGAAGTTCGAGGAACTTGCAGAAGATCGAGGAACTTACCAGAAGTTCGAGAAACTTGTCAGAAGTTCGAGGAACTTGCCAGAAGTTCGAGGAACTTGCCAAAAGTTTGAGGAACTTGCCAGAAATTTTCTCGGTACTTGCCAGAAGTTTTTTCAGAACTTTCCAGAAGTTTGAGGAACTTTCTAGATGTTCGAGGACTTGCCAGAAGTTGGAGGAACTTGCCAGAAGTTTTCTCGGTACTTGCAAGAAGTTTAAGGAACTTTCCATAAGTTTGAGGAACTTTCCAGATGTTTGAGGAACTTTCCAGAAGTTCGAGAAACTTGCCAGAAGTTCGAGCACTTGGCATAAGTTTGAGAATCTTTCCAAAAGTTTGAGGAACTTGCCAGTAATTTTCTCGGTACTTGCCAGAAGTTTTTTTGGTACTTTCCAGAAGTTTGAGGAACTTTCTAGATGTTCGAGGAACTTGCCAGAAGTTTTCTCGGTACTTGCCAGAAGTTTTTTTTTTCGGAACTTTCCAGATGTTCGAGGAACTTGCCAGAAGTTCGAGGAACTTGCCAGAAGTTCGAGGAACTTGCCAGAAGTTCGAGGAACTTGCCAAAAGTTTGAGGAACTTGCCAAAAGTTTGAGGAGCTTGCCAGAAGTTTTCTCGGAACTTGCCAGAATTTCGATGAACTTGCCAGAAGTTCGGGAAACTTACCAGAAGTTTGAGGAACTTGCCAAAAGTTCGAGAAACTTGCCAAAAGCTTCAGTGAAGTTGCCGACATGTTTCTTAAATTTTCAGATGTCTTGAAATTTCTCACTATTTTCCAGAATTTAATGGAACTGCCTTAAAATTCTCGAAATTTATCTGGGGTCTCAGAACTGCCCTGTAGATCGCGCAAAAAAATCTCAGAACAGCCCCAAAGGCCACGTGACTTCCCTTAAGATTTTGCAACTCAATTGAAGTGTTGGCAACTTCTGTAAAGTTCCTGCATTTTTTAAGCTAATCGAACGGCTAGACTTCAACTCAGACGACCATAAGAAAGTCAAATATGGTTAAACTTTTCTGTCCTAGAAATAACCAATAGGATTTTGATCCATATGCATCCGTTTTCAGCTGCATCAGGCTCCCTTATTTTCGAGTTCCTTGTTGACAAACGCAAAATTTCGAAAGCTCGAATCGTCTGAAGCTTTCTCCCGAACTGGTTTTCCACCAGTCGCCCAAAACTCGCTATTTTCCATCATAAATCCAACTAAACCTTATTGCAGCGGAGAACTGTATCGATGCGACCAGAAAGGACCTAACCGATACGCGCAGAACACTGGCAGACAGCAACATCGAACGAGACAAGTACGCTAACAGCAACAAGGAACTGCGAGGCCACGTGAAACGGGTCGAGGGACAACGCCGGGAGCAGGCTAGATCTATGGACGACGCACTACAGAAGATTGCAGGTTTGTACATGTACTTCCCAGTATTTTCCGGCACCAATTGACCAACGCTTACCCCTGTAGGACTCGAGGAATCCCGGAACCTGCTCGAACAGGAAAAGGTTCGTCTGCAGACCATTCTCAAGGAGACGGAAAACAACATGACCAAGCTCAATCAGGATCTGTCCACTGCCCAGACGGATATTCACAAGTTCCAGTCCCAAACGACGCAGAACGACGCAGCCGAAAAGGAGCTACAGGCTCGACTAACCAACGAATCCGAAGAGAAGGAACGTATCGTGCAGGAACTGCATCAGATCAAGAAACAAATGTCCGATTTGGAGGGTTCGCTGTGTGCTACTCGTCAGGAGCTGGCCCGAGCTCGGTGCAAGGCGAATCAGGACGAACACCGGTTCCACCAGCGAGAGCAAGAGCTTTGCACTCGCATAGAGGAAGGTAGGGGTCGAGAAAAGCGGTTGGAAGATCAGAAACACAATCTGGAGGTCTGCTTGGCCGATGCTACCCAGCAAATCCAGGAGCTGAAGGCTCGGTTGGGTGGTTCGGAGGGTCGAGTTCGCGCTTTGGACGAGCAGTTGGCACACTTGGAGGTTATCAAGAAGGAAACGGAGAATAAGCTGAGCTCGATTGGGCATACGTTGAGAAGGATTGCCGGAATTCAGATGGATGGATCGGTCAGTTTGCCGTACCGACTGCTGAGTCCATCAAGAAGGTAGGTTGAAGCGGTGTGATTTGTCTAACTCGCTGTAAACTTCCCATAATTATGCATTGCAGATATAGCCCGGCTCGTGGTCGCAGCGATCGGGATGAGTTCCATCATCATCACCATCATCACCATCAGCAAGAAACCAGAAGCCTCTCCGGGGACAATGCAATCATCGACGTCGATCCGGAAACGGTACGCAAGGGAGTGCGCACCTTGATGCAACAGGTTGCGCAAATCGAACGCGAGCGGGACGATTTCAAGATGCAGCTGTGCACGGCGAAGAAGCAACTGCACGATAGCGGTGACAATCAGATGCGATTGGAAGGTAAGATTTGCAAGTTGCAGCAGCACAATCGGGCTATTCACGAAGATAAGACCAATTTGGAGGCCAAACTGGCACAGAAAACAACTGCGCTGCAGACAACGGAGGAGACGCTGCGCCAAAAGAGCGATGATTTAAATATAACACGAGAGAAGGCCGCTCATTTGGAGCAATCTCTTGGATCAACCACTGAGGAGAAGAACCAATTTGAGGAACGTTTAGAAAAATGCAGACAGAATGCTTGTCGTTTGGAATCGGACAAGCGACACCTGCAGGATGAATTGGCTCGTACTGAAGGTCGCGCTTCGAAGTTGGACCTCCAGCGGGTCGCTCTGGAGGGAGACATCCAGCGCTTGCAGATGGCTTTGCAAGAGAAGGATTGTACCATCAGAAACCTCCAGGAGCGTTTGGAAAATCAGCAAAGATCTGGAACTCAACTTGAGGATCGTTGTGCTGCGCTCAAGAGTACTGTCGACCAATTGAAGGAACGGCTGCAGGCGGCAGCCATTACCGAAACCGAATTGCGTGGAGAAATCGCCGGGTTGCACCGTCACAATACCGACCAGGGTCATACGTTTTCACTGGGACAGGACAAGCTCAAGCAGTTGCAGAAATCGTTGACCAACAGTGAAAACGAACGTCGAGTGCTTTCGGAACGTTTGGACGCTTCGCAGCATACCATGAATGAATTGAGACGCAATCAACAGGCGGTTCAAGATCAAACGCAACGCTTGCAGGAGCAAGTGGCTGAGTGTGAGGTTCAGAAATCGGCACTGGAGTCACAGCTGAGACTGGCCAAGTGGAATCAGGAAAATGCCGAGCAATTCGGTAGTGGTACCGGTGGAGACCAGGATCTTGCTCGACAGCTGGTCAACTCACAGAGAGATCGTACTGAGTTGAAAAATAAGCTCGAGGCCATGAAAGAGAAGGTGCGTCACATGGAGAACGAGAAACTTGGTTTGGAAAAGAGCGGCAGCAAATTCTCCGGTCAGGTTCAGTTTGATCGTTCGGAAAAGAGCGGCTTTGGGGATTCGGGAGAGTTTGATTCGAACCGGTTGGAGTCTAGTGGTTACGGAGTTGGCGGTTCCGGCGGTGGGAAATTCAGCTGTGGTCTCGATCACGCTCAGATAGAGCAGGAAAGTCGTGAGCTGCGCATGAAGGTGCGTCGCATGGAGACACTGTTGGCTGAGAAGGAAGCGGAATTGGCTCGGGCCAAGGCAAAGATGTTGGAATCTCCGAGCAAGTCCAGCACCGGATACGGTGGTGGAGGTGGTGGCAGTGGCGACGTCGATCGCCATCGGAATGCGCAGATTCAGGCCGAGCGACTGTTGGATGCTAGGGAACAATCGCATCGGCAGCAGGTGCTCCGGTTGGAGAATCAAATTTCCATGTTGCGGGAGCAACTGGCTCAGGAGGCGAAGCGTCGACAGATGTACATTCTGAGGAGCTCACGAGCCGGAAGGGAGATGCAACATTTGCGGCAAACGCTTGGAGATTCGTTGAGAAACGTAACGCAGGAGCCAATCGATTCTTCGCTGTTGGAGAGCGAAGCTAGAAGGTAAGTGCGACGGGTTTGGGTGGGACGGTGAAGGACGGGGGTTAATGAGGGTGTTTGTTTTGTGTGTTTTCATGTCTTGTAGATTGGATAGCGCTGTGTCGATGAGCTTGCCTCCAACTTCCAGCCGAGATTTGGATCGGAGTTTGAGCCCCACGTATCGTTGATGTCGTAGGTGTTGAATAATATTACACTCGAAACAGTTTGGATCCGTCTATGGTTAGGAATTTTACAGAACCCAAACCAAGGATTATAGTTGTTAACTCCTTGATCACTGCTAGCTGGTAACGGGTGACAACCGTTCGTGACAAGCAAAGTGTTCATGTTATGTGGAAACCAAAGCACGGGATCATAATTTTATCTAGTCCGTAGATTGCGAAGTCTTAAAACTAAAATTGAGATCGATAAAATCACATAAAATTGACAACGTACAAAAAAAATCCACATGGAGTTTAGTTGTAAAATTGTTCGGGACGTATCAAATTAGAATGCATTATGTGCGTTGCACTCAGACATTCAATCGAAATCAAAGTATTATTTTTCTGCAGTGCAGTGAATTCATCACTCGGTGCACTCGCTCATTGATGAGTGCAACGATGAATTTGAGTTCATGCACTGACGAAAATTTGGCAGGAGAGCGGGGCAATGTTTACTAAAAATGAACACTAAGGCTGCGTTCCATTTGGTGAATTTTCACTTAAATTTGACAGATAGAAAATTTTCAAATAAACCTGCTATTGTACCAGACTTATTTCTGACAGACCAGGAATCAATTTTGACAAACACCTTCTCGAAAATAGGATGATCAACAACAGAGGGATTTTCGAACATCTTAATTTATTTTCGAAGTGTCAAATTTAAGTGAAAATTCGCCAAATGGAACACAGCCTAAGGCTGTGTTCGATTCGGTGAATTTTCACTTAAATTTGACAGATGGAAAATTTTCAAATAAAGCTGCTATTGTTCCATACTTATTTCTGACAGACCAGGAATCAATTTTGACAAACACCTTCTTGAAAATCGGAAAATCAACAACAGAGAGATTTTCGAACATTATAACAGTGCTAACATTTGAAAACGGCACAAAAGCCATTTGTAAACAAATGGTTTGTGGGCCCTTTACTCACTACTTGAAGTACACCCACGCGACACAACAGCAACATCGGGTAGGGGAAATTTTCCCCTTCCTGACGATGCTTTTGGTTTGCGTGGGCGTTCTTCGGGTAGCGAGTAAAGGGCCCACAAACCATTTGTTTACAAATGGCTTTTGCGCCGTTTTCAAATGTTAGCACTGATAAGTTATTTTCGAAGTGTCAAATTTAATTGAACATTCAAGACCAACAATTGAAATGGCCTCAACTTCAATTTGTAAACAAACCTTGTAAGGTCATTTTCTCGCGAACCAAAACCTACATTCGGAAACCTAAACCACAATCGGGTAGAGGAGAATTTCCCCTACCTGTTGATTCTGTTGTTTTGCCTTGGCGGACTTCGGTTCGCGAGAAAATGGCCTTACAATGTTTGTTTACAAAATGGAGTTGAGGCCTTTTCAATTGTTGGTCTTGAATTGACCAAATGGAACACAACCTAAATGTTCATTATTCATGAGCATTGCTCCGCGCTCCTGTCAAATTTCCATCAGTTCATGAACTCAAATTCGCACCGTCGTCGTCTATTGATGAGTGCACCGATGGTTTTAAGTTCACTCACTCGAGAAAAAGTGGCACGAGCTGTGGCCAACATTTACTAATCATGAACACTAAATGTTCATGAATAATTAATAATGAACATTTAGTGTTCATGATTAGTAAACATTGCCCGCAGCTTGTGTCACTTTTTCTCGAGTGAGTGAACTCAAATCCATCCGTGCTTTCGTCTATTGATGAGTGTACCGATGGATTTGAGTCCACACACCGATTAATAGTAGTTAATGAATGCACTGATGAAAATTTTACAGGAGAGCTGGGCAATGTTTACTAAAAATGAACACTAAATGTTCATGAATAATAAACAAATAATGAACATGGAGTGTTCATTTTTAGTAAACATTGCCCTGATCTCCTAGCAAATTTGTTCATGCAAATTTTAGTTCATGCATTGAAGAAAACATGACAGGAGAATGGGGCCTTCCCGAGGGGGACGACTCTATCTACGCTGCAGGAAAGATTGTGCTTTGCTGTGGCTGCATGCAAGCTGATTAGATAGAAAGAAGATTGATGACGATTCTGAAGATTTCATGCAAAAATATGATGCGCGATGCAAGTAGATGCGAGAAATGAAAGAAATTTTTCGAAGATTGATCGAGAAAATCTATCTAAGAAAAAATCGACTAAGTTCACATAAAGGTTAAAGATTGAGATTATGCCCGACGGTGCAAAACCTTATTTTAAAGTAAATAAGGCTCTCATTACCTGTCACATTTCATTCGGCGAGTGAACTCGAGTTCATTGGTGCACTCATCAATAGTCAACAAAGTTAGATTCAAACCAGTCAGCGATAGGCACAAGCGTCTTTAATTCACTCCAGGATCATACTTCATCCGATACCTTCAACCGATTGACTTCGATATGCCAATCAATCGCTTGTAGGATCGTTGAAGTTTAACTAAAGTAGTTTTTATTTTTACGAACTGGGAATTTACAAGAACCGTCAGTCCAACTGTGAACTGTAAACAAATACGGAAAACAGCTGCCGGAGGTGTCTCATGGATAAAAGGTTTAGACCTAGTCAAATTTAAAATACTGCCCGAAATCAAATTCTGTGATGGCTTCCACGGACCGCTCATCACAGAAGTGAAGCCTGTTTCATCATTTCATTATGTTATAAAACAAATTGAATGAAAGCGTAATTAAATTAAGAGATGAACTTCCAGAAGTTCGTTAGTTCACACTTGACACAAATCATTGATCGGATGAAACCCAATCACCCCCACTCATGACGACAACAATCTTCTCTAAAAATGACATTACTAGTCCCCTTTCCATTCGCAGGAAAGAAGACATGTAGCAAACTCATATTCCGTCGGTTAATATTTAGAACAACAAAAAAGAAAACATATAATGAGAATACATTCCTAATGTTAGCTGTGGGACTCCACCTATTCTTTGCAAAGAATACATTTCAAGATTGGCTGGAGTCTTTAGTAGAAACAGTAGATGCTATAATATCTGCACTCAGCCATTCATATTGATCAGAAGCAATCAAACAGTCAAGCTTAACGGATGAACAGACTAGAGCCGTGATTCCGTCTATTTCCCATCATCGAGCTTTTCTCATAATAGTTAATAGGCTAAAAACGTTAAAGAAAATTATTTGCTAGAATACTACTTTTGCACTCGACACATTTGTAAGGGGAATATCGGAACACACCTAAACTATAGTTGATGTCGTCACGAAAAGAAACGAGTTCGTGGAACTCTCTCTCTCAAGCTACATATTCCATTAATCTCCAGTAATAGTTCCTGTAACACAGATTGCAATGTTTTTCTTTCCACTCCGTTCATGGAATGTATGGTAATCGTAATCTATTGAGTAATTAATCATGTTGTTTGATAGCACACCTATGTACATCGTTACATAAATCAATCATTCTAATCCGTAGTAGGTACTAAAGAAAGAAAACAAAACATATAACGAATTAACAGAACAAGCGTCGAAATCATATTATATTACATCGAATATAAATAAACCACATGAACAATCATTTGTTTGGTGTATTTCCCCGTTGCAATGAATATCACAGCCTATACACTTACGAAAAAAGAAATCAGGATTAATCAGGATGGTGTTTAGTTGTGAGGAAAGTTTTAAAATCAAACGAAAGAAAGTCGACACTGACATTAAAAATCGGAAATTTTGGAAGTAGTGAGCGTGGTTTGGGATGACCTTCTGTGGGCACTCGACAAAGAACGTAGTGTCTCTACAGGTCCTGATTCGGTAGGGTATCCGATGATCCAACGTCTGCCTGTATCCATCAAAATCGCGCTGTTGCAGCTTCTAAACCGAGTCTGGCGTAGTGCCGTTTACCCTATCAGCTGGCGAACCGGAATATATAATGCCGATTCCGAAGCCAAACTGTTCTGAATCTGGACCTGCTGCTTTCCAGCCTATTAGGTTAGGTCATCGGGACGAACACTGCTTGATAGCATCGCTTGATCTGTCGAAAGCGTACGGCACCACTTGGCGGTACGGTATTTTGCGCACTCTGCGGAAGTGGCAGATCGGTGGGTGCTTATTTAACGTGCTGAACTGGTTCCTCGCCGACAGGTCTTTCCGGGTGAACGTGGAAGAACATTTATCGGGTGAAATGACATTGGAGAACGAAATCGATATTTTGCTGGTGGTATGGAGGAATAAGGAGCGTCCTCTGTATCGAGATCTACAGGCTGGAGTGAAAGCTGTCGACAAGTAGGCGAAAAGCGTCGGCTTCAGAATTTCCGCAACAAAATCAAGCATTTTCTACGGCAGTCCCAACGCCCATCGAGAACTCAGCAACGATATCCTCATCGACCGCGCAGCTGTACCAAAGACGAATCAACTTAAAGTTGTTGACGTCAAACTTGACCGGTCGCTGTCCTTCAAACACCATGGCAAGATAGTCAAAACCACGTGCGACTCTATGCTGATCTTGAAGATGATCGGGGCTAAACTTCCGCGAGGGCAACGCGATTCTCTGTTGTGTATCGGATCGGCAATCGTCACGTCGCGAGTTATCTACGTTCGTTATTTGAGCGAAGGATACGTGGTGCAGATTCTTGCCTTGGGGGCGTACGTCACCAGTCCGATTCCAGCGATCATTGCTGAAGCAGGTACATTACCGTTCAATCTAATGGTTCTGCAAGCTATAATTCGTGTTGCAATTCGTTTGATGGAGAAGGATTCTAGGAATATCGATCTTCCAGTTGTAGAACGAGCGTCCTATCGCCTGGTGGCGGTTGATGTGAAGCTTCCAAACATGCTGTACGGCTGTACGGACACGTCTCGCCAACCGAGAGTGGTACGAACCCAAACCACATATTTTTTGGAATGTGAAACGGCAGGTGAAAGCTCCAGATCCCCCGAATACAGTGCGTCCCATCGTGCTGGCAAACCGGTTTAACCGTGCTTTGGCCATTTATACGGATGGCTCTAAGGGTCACCCACATTAGATCCGGATCTGGCGGGTTGCGGTAAAGTGACAGCTAAATCTATTGTCTAACCACAAACGAAGTGACAGACGACTAACTGGCGAAGAAATCCATTAAAATAATGTGGTTCACTGTAATAGAATTTTCTTGGAAGCTTGTGCCATCAGCCACCAGATGGGTTAGTTTTTTTGTTTTGATTTGAACAAAGTTGATTTTGTGTACAATGATTCTTTGACAGTGTGCAAAGAGTGTATCATTTTGTCAATTTTTTATGCATTTCAGTTTTGAGTAGAGTGAAAGAGATAGAACCAAAACATTCTAATACATTTGGTGAAAATACTGGTACAATCCAGTAGTAGTGTTGCCATGTGGTACAATCCAGTAGTAGTGGTGTTGCCATGTGGTACACTGAAAAATTGAAATAGCAGGTTAGTCACCAAAGTTTTCGAGCCGCTCCGTCTGTCACTTCGTTTGTGGTCTAACTGTCAAATTTACGTCAACGCAACGCAAACGGATCTACTGTGGGTGCTGAAGTGCGAGAACATAGTTGGAGCAGGTGTATTTAGCAACAACATTCGCAGTAAGAGCATCACACGAACGTGTAATCATTCTGTCTGATTCGACCAGCTGTCTGTCGACCATAGAGAGTCGAAGATCGCAGCATCCGTGGATCCAGGAAATCGAGCGCTTTTACGTGGACTGCCGATCTACCTTTGTTGGATCCCTGATCATGCCGGAATCTGCGGAAACAAAGAAGCAGACCGACTGGCCAGTGAAGCACGAAACAGTCCACTAATCAACGTTAGCGTACCAAGGAATGATTTTTTTTTTATAATGCGTTTATTTTTCCAGGCTCATTTGCTATAGCTTTGCGGAGCCAATATTAATTGATTAGATTACAAAATTACTTAAAACTAACGTTAGTAAAGCGGGGGCCGATTACTCGCGGCTATCTCGAGGTTAGGGGTGACAAATTGTAACAAATGGATGGCAGGGTAGGGATTGTGAACACAAGGTTTGGAGAGCAATGTGCTCTTGATCTCGAACTAAGCGACACTCTGATGAAAAAGACAAACATGGGGGTACATCGATGGGCAGCTAACAACTTGGGAGAACACAAGATGACACTAACTACTAAATCCTCAGATCTATCCGTTTTAAAACCAAGGAATGATGCCATCAAGAACATGAACCAAGTCTTTCATCAGCAATGGGAAGCACGTTGGGCACAATTGACAAAAGGGAAACGAACGATCAGTACAGTTCTGCCGATTAACGCGTACTTACTTGTCTACGCATCGGTCATACTAGGCTTACGCATGAGTTTCTGCTAAAGAAAACATCTCCGCCAGCATATCAATGCTGTGGTACCGTTGATGAAGTTCGTCACATTATTCTGCACTGCAGAAAATCTGAAGCGACCAGGACGATACGGAATCGATTCCACAACCCCTTATACCAACAATCAATACGAAGCTAACGATTTTAAATTGGCTCACTACTTGACTAGTCTATTGGTCCCAAGCAAATCGATTAACGTACCCCATTCTAGTCGAAATTCTAGTACTAGGACCGAAGAGAGTACCAGAGCTGAGCCAAAAAGTTGAGCACATTTCTTCGGGACCTTCTGGTCTTAGAATTACCTCTATGCTTATACCATACAGGTAACTCTAAGACAAGCAGGTCCCGAAATAACGTCCTCAACTTTTTGGCTCAGCTCTGGTACTCTCTTCGGTCCCAAGCTAAACGATTCACCCCTCGAAACATGGGAAAATCCACTATCCCTCATTTTATCTGTCAAACTTTCATAGCAAATCAAAACAAACATTGTGCAGTAGTAGAATTTCGACTAGAATGGGGTACGTTAATCGTTTGCTTGGGACCAATAGGCTAGTCAAGTGGTGAGCCAATTTAAAATCGTTAGTTTCGTATTGATTGTTGCTAAAACACTATTCTAATTTTCCATTTTTCTCAACAAAAATATTTCTGAACACCAGCACGGGGGATCTGATGAAACGATGAAGAATTAAATTTATTATTTTTTATTATAAGTTAATGGAAAGAAAAGTGCAGGATGTAGGATTATAAATAAATCAATAAGTAAATAAATAAATAAATAAATCAATAAATAAATTATTAAATGAGTAAATGAGTAAATAAGTACGTAACTAAATAAATAAATAATAACTAAATAAATAGTCAATTAACAATAAATAAATAAATAATAAATTAATTAATAAAAAAAATAAATGTATAAACACTAGATTAGCCACTTCATTCGAGCAGTTCAAAATGACGTTTACTTGATTTGAACTTGACAAGATTTTGGGATTGTTTCTTCTAGAGCTACGAGAAAAGTAGCCAACATTTGTGACTTTCATAAAACACTAGTTCATTCGAAAAGTTGAAAATGACGTTTCCTATCATTTAAACTTCGAAATAAAACAATATGTTGTGATTTTGTCTTCTAAAATCACTAGAAAAGGTCCAGTTTTGTGAAATCGCTGGTAGGAAATTTCGCCAAAACTGCTTGACAGTAAAGTAGTCCATTGTAAATCAAAATTTGATTTATTCAGTCTTCTTCATTCCTTTATTTAACGTCGGTCTTTGTTCCGCAATCTAGTGCCAGTTACCAACGGACATCGATTGCCATCCATTGACGGTAATCGAATATGTAAGGAAGGCAGCTTCCACACCTGCGCAGGATATTGCACCCATTCAACACACATGGGCGGGGACCAACGGCTTTACTTCCCTTCCGGAGGAAGACGTGAACAGAGATTTTTATGCCACTTTACCACTTTTTTGCCAGTCCGTTTACGGCGCCGGCTGATTTATTCAGCCGAATCATCAAAATCATGAAATACATGAATACAGCGGCACGTACACAACGGCGCGCGGACTGATTTTACCTCTGAATCACCCCTTGTCGTGCTGCTGCTGTCAAACATAAAATTTTCGCTGCGGTGCGTGTTGTTTGATTTTTCGCCGTTTCGCGCCATTTTCGTCCGTGTTGTTTACTAATGCAGCCAATGTTATCGTCGTTTGGAGTTCGGTAACGCGTTTCAGTTTAATTTATTCGATATTTCCTGTATTTATATTAAATTTAAGTTCGCCAACTAGCCGAAAAAGTGTAAATAGTGTGAAATTTCCAACCGGTCGCTTGAAATGGTGTCACTCGAAAGCATTAGGGAGCAGTTTGACGAGCTCGGGATCGATCCCTCCGATGAGGTGTCTAACAAGTGTAAGTACCTGTAAAATTAACTGGACCGCATTTTAACGATCTTCTATCCTGAAAAAAAAAGGTATCGAAATCTGCACCCGGTACGGCATTGACGATCCGATCGAATTCGTGGAAACATGGATGGCATACAGTGTGTCGAAGCTGAGCGGAGCGGAACCGACGGTTGAGTATCTGCGCGACATGGAATCACACGAGTTCGCCAACAAGGTGCGGAAAGCGCCGGCACCGCCACCGTCCGCCGTGAGCCGCGTCAAGCATAGCGCGGGGTTTTCGTCCCCGAACCCCAAGGACGGGTCGGGTGGTTCCAGTGCCGCTGGTTTGGTGATCTACAACAATATGGAACTGGACTCCATCGAGAGCGATGTCCTTGGATCGTACGGGTGCATCACTCCGAAGGTAGGTGCCAATGTTGCTAGCTTCTCATTAGTTTGAAACGGTCATGCAATTTATAGAAACGGGTTGTTGGTTAAATTGCGGTACTTTAATATACTCAGTCCGAGTGTGATGTTTGCGATCAACATGTGAATGTAGGCATATATACTATTAAGATGTGTGCAGTGACCGTGCTTATGTTGCTTTTAGCATAGCTAATGCTATAAAATACTGTGGTTTGATTTTAGCTCTGCTAATTTGATGAGAATGTTCTGAGAAGTTTGAAGATCTTTCATGGGATGAAAATTGCACGTTGTGTGTGCAAGTTTGGTAAACATTGCAGATATTCAGGAAGCTTCCAAGAGAAACATATAGGGGAAAAGTTGGCTTCGGCAATACCTTAACCTATTATCGTCAGGGGGGGTAAACAAAGTCCTAGAGCACTCAAATTTGGCCAATAGTTGCTCTGAAACACAATGTATCCACATACCAAAATTATAGGTTAAGGTATTGCCGAGGCCAACTTTTCCCCTACTTTTGAAGCTTCTGAATTCTGTGAAATATTATCAAGTTATTTAACATTCCTGAAGTTGCCTCAACTTTGCTGCTATTTTCTTATAGTTATCTAGTACGCTTAAGCTCTTCACCTTTCTACATTGTTAAAAAAACTCCCTTTTGGATATTTCCTGAATTTTTAAGATACCTTAAGTATTAGGCCAGATGTCAACAACCTGAACGTCATTTGGCCGAGTGCTAGTATGTCGAATGCTATTTGGCGGGATGTGATTAGGTCGAAGGGGTCATTAGGCCAAATGGTCAAATGAGTAAAAGTATTTTTTTTTATTTTCATATTGACCAACTCCAATTAGTAATTTCCAGTGTTTTCTGCGAATTTGGAAAATTTCCCGGTTGTACGATACACATTCAAATTAACCATACAATTCAATGAGCTGAAAGGATCACTAAGTTAAATAAGCCATTCAAAATACAGCACAATTTGCCTATGTTTTAACAATTTTGGCAATTCGCATAGATCTCTACAGAGTTCTTTTAAATTTTTCTCATAAATTTTCTTTAACATCATTTCCTTTCACATAATTCTATTCGGAATTCCTCTAAAATAAGTTTTAAAGTATCTTTGGGATTCCCTTTGACATTTTCTTAAGTTTTCTTAGAAAGTATTGTTTGTGCCGAGTATGCAAAAAGGAGAGACCTACCTGTGAAAGGGAAATTACAATTTTTCCACCACAGAGACGTCCCGTTTTCTTATGCAAAATGATGGATGTGCGTCCAAAAAATGCAAGAAGTCTTAAAAAAGCAATATTTAGTCATTTTTGTTTTGCTCAATCGGTAGTTTATAGATACATTTGCAACATATCGCGTGAGATCTTTCCTTTATTCTTCTCTTAACTTTCATTCCATTATCATGTGAAACATTATATTACTGGTACGGGAGGGTCTACCAGGGCACCCGATTGAAGCGAAATGGATGGGGAGAGTGGAAATGCCAACTTCCTGTTTTTAAGATTTTGTGAAAAGACGGCGGGCTCTTCTCCCCACTCATTGGGGCATCCTCCTGTTGGATGGCCTGTTTTTATCGGTTGTATAATCATGTTGTTGGAAGGAGATTCTCATTTATCCCGTGAATGCACGTGGGCGATGTTGTTCACCCAAATCGTTCAGGTTCAGGTTCAGTACATCAGTTATTAAACTTGATCAAGTCGAACAGCGAGGATAACCCACAGTCTACCGACAAAGACAAAGCTATAGTGGGTAGTTCCATATAATCATCATCAATCGGTTGATAATAGATACAGTTCAGTCAAATTTCGCTCGTTGGGCTATGTTTAGATGGGCTACGTTTTAGTTGGGCTGTAGCCCATCTAAATCTAAGTTAAACGTCATTTTTGACAGTGCTATTTCTTTTTCAAAGGGCTCATGTATGAACAATTTGGATAGTTGCTAAAGAATTATGATGATAATAAACAATCGGTGTATCCCTCAACCAATTTGCAGCTTGACAGCTCAGCCCAACTAACGAAAGTCTTTCACTAATAATAGCGAATTCGTTTATTATCGGGGTTAACACCAGTTCCAACCCAGTGCGAAACCGAACTTTTTGTCAGTGTGAACCTCAACCTGAGCTAGGTTTTAAAAACAAACGAGCAAACTGACGTTTGTCAGAAATCAAACAGACCCAATCTTGATACCCGATCCAGGTTGGAACTGAATAATAAACGAATTCGCTATAAGTGGGCTACAGGTTTAGCCCAATGAGCGAAAATTGACTGTATACCAAGAATTGATTGGAGGGGTTCATCGTTAAAATGTTCTGATATACGCGATCAATTGAAAAATTTCGCTAAAAATAGGTGTAGAATTGTGCACCCCATTTATTTTAACTAGCGTCCTGAACAAAACCATAACTTAAGTTCGCTTAGATTTTCCATATGCACACCAGTACACCAGTGTATTGTGTAGTGACAGAATTGTGAACTTATCTACTCACTATTCGAAAAGTTTTGTTTATTTGAACAACTTTTTCGGTGAAAGCAACTTCACAGCTGGTCAGGATTTCAGTTGTACAATGCATGATCATGATTTCTAGTATTTTCACCGGAAGGTAAGGTTTTTTTGATTCCCTGCTGAACATACAATTTGTTATGTGTAGATAAATTTTCCAAATTCAAGAATCCATCAAAAAAGATCAAGCCTCAAATGATTCGTATCTAAGACCGTAATGTTTAAAAAGCTCCTTAGGGGTGATGCACATATTATGTCACGCTCTAAGGAGGAGGGGGTTTTTGATTTTTTGACAAGCAATGCATCAGGTATAGGAAAAATGTCACGAAAGGGGGAGGGTGACATAATAAATGGATCGCCCCTTAGTTGGAATTTGTTTTTGATTCAGTTCCAACCTGGATCGGGTATCAAGATTGGGTCTGCTTGTTGTATGTCAAACGTCAGTGTGAACATTTGTTTTCGTAGCCTGGCTCGAGTTGACAATAAGCTCGAGTTCGCATGGGTTGGAACTATAGTCGCTATATTCATAGTCTGGCGGATAGAATCTCGGGAACCAATTGAGCTGTCAAATAGCGGAACCAATCGAGCAAATCACGACCAACAACAGAAAAGAGCACATCAGCTACTCCGAACAAAATTTCGGAAACCGTTTTCTCGTGACTAAAGGCTCACCTACACAAACAAAACGCCATCTTTAGGTTGTGGAAAGTTTCCCCTATCCGATGATGCTGGTAATTTACATTCGATTGGCGAGGAAAGAATAATCAGTGTTTTGTTTATAAAAATTGATAGTACCTTTTCAATTGTTGGTCTACGATATATTGAAATGGTTCCGCTTTTTGATAGATCGAAATTCTATCCGCCAGACTATGAATATAGCGACTATAGTTGGAACTGGTTCGCTATAAGTCCAATCTATCGCTTTCCAACATTCGGTCTAATGAATTAGTGCCCTTCGAAAAACTTCGATGATTCTAGTAAATTTTCAAATTGTTTTGTCTCTGAAACAAATTTTGACGATTTTCTGCAACTAGAGTACCATTTCTTTCGTTAGCGACATCTAGCGCAAAAATCAACCATGCCGATATTCCTTTTAACTTAGGACCACGTCTTTGTCGAAGGTTAAGGGGTACGAAGCAACGTCATGAAATCATGTAAGGCTTTAAACGTTTATAACTTGGTCATTTATGGATGGAACTACATTTATTAATGTATTGCTGATTGCATTTGAAAATGGACTGCCCAAAAATGCAAAAAGTGCTCGTTTCCGTCAAATCGTTTTGGTGTTTTGAAAGCACTTATTCCTTTCATCATAAGGAATAAGAGCTCCGAAGACACCAAGACGACCTGACGGATTCTCACACTTTTATCACACTGTTTAATATGTAAAAACGCAGTTGTTTGTCCAGTTTGATGTAAAATGCTCAGTATCATTTAAATCAAATTTGATGTAAGATTTGTTTGGTATTAAAATTCTAACTGTTAGTCATTATTACACTATTGAAACATAAACAAACTTGCTTGCTTGCCTTGGCTAGCGAGTGTGGATGATAGCAATTTCCATGTTTGCATAATTTACTTAACAAATTTTCATAAATTTAGCTCTGACCAATTGTTGTCTAAGAGATACGAAACGAAACAAACAATCAATTTTTCAGCATGTTAAACTGCCATAAATCTGCTGTTTTAATAGCCAAAACCCAAAAAAATTCTTACAATTCCGTATTATACCGCATACCCACTAGCATATGTTGAACCAGTAAAGAATTTGGGAATGTAGCATCACAGACAAACAGACATAACTCTTAGAAGTAAATTCTTCAAAGAAATATCGTCAAGCGTATTTTGCATGCACACTAGCACCCTTTATCATGTACATTCCCAAGCATTGTTTTGCAACTGGAGCATATCTCCTAAGCATAGCATATGCGATTGCACAAATTGTGGGGGGCTATATAATGGTCAACCAATGCATTTTGCAGAAAATATCGTGTGTTGCCGTGAAAAAACACTTGGGATTAGTGGTTTTTCCCACACATCCCAATTTACAAAACAAGCATCGCATTATACACCTGGCCACATCCTTACAATCGCAGAGGATAGAAAGGAAAATTATTCCAACATCTACTTAAGAAGGTGCAGGGAACCCATACTACCTACATAGATGTCTCGGGATGGAACATTTGTGTTAATAGGGAGTGGAATATATTTAGGAATCTCTATTCGGCAATTTAAAGTAAAGATTCTGTGAAAATGCAACTGGAGCATCCCTTGTTCATACAATGTTTTCACTAGTTACTTTTCCCCTTGTTCTGTCAACGCGTCAGCTGTGTTGAATAAAAACAAAACAGTGATGTCGGTTCTACGAAATTTGCTGTACATCTATAGAATTCTTTGAATTTTGCAGAAATAGACTTCTCTGACGTTTGTGAAATGCACAAGTATTAGTGCAGTGCTTTGGGTAAATTGTAAGTTTAGTGCAAGAAAACCTTTGAATTTAC